GTAAATCCTGCCAAGGTCGACCAAAAAAACACTTATTTGGTTAGCAAACTGTATATATCTCTGTCAACACTAGGTGACAGCATTAGCATGTACAATACCGAGTTGGCAGCAGAGCATTTTCATTAACAATTCTGTTTGCTGTTTTACAGTGGTTTTGTTTTGTGGAAATGTGCAAATGTATCTCCATGTACAGATAGCAGATAGTTTAATAAAAAAATAAACAGAAACTAAAGATACAGAGCTAATTTTCCTTGAAGTATGTTGAAATCACTCTATGCATCTATAAATCCTGAACAAATGATTTATAACATTAGTTTGGTACAACATGTATTTCTTAATACTGGCAAATAAATGTGGGAATGTGCTTCCTATAAATGTAGTTACTGGATATGTGATCTTACTGAAGGTCAAGATTTGAAAGGACTCATGGTTAAAAATGCTAGAACAATAGGCAGGTAGAGTTATAGGGATACTCTGAATACCATAACCACTACTACGCTCTATAGTGGTGATGAAGCCAGCATGCCCCATCTGTGGTGCTAGGGATGCAAAGCACCGCTATGTGGCTTCATTAGCCGGAATGGAGATCATGGATTTCCCTCATCAGCCCAGTTAAACCTAAAGGTCGGGTCTCACAAAGACTCTAGTCTGCACCTATGCCGGCCACTTGGGTACTATACAGTATTTCTGGGTGGGGAATGACAGAAGCAAATTAATGTATTTTTATTATTATTTTTATTTAAATATATATATAGTTTATTCCCTCCTATCTGCTTATGACCTTGTACTAGGGAGGGGGTCATGAACATCCCTGGTAGTCTAGAGACATCCTCAGGTCTTCACCTCTGCTGGGTGAAGAGGCACTGTGTGGTATCATAGTGCTGTCATGGTAACACGCAGCATCACTCTGCATGACTGGAGCTTGCAGGTATTACACTCTCAGTCTGTACCTTGCAGCGTTGCAGGCTGGAGTCTCTAGGCCTTCTCCTTTCTGCAGAAATCACAGCTTAGTTCTTTGATTTTCACAAAAGCCCATGAACGAACAAAGCAAGGCTGGTGCTTAGATATGCCTGCATGGCCGGTTTTACAGATTAGAGATATGCAAACAGCAAAATTAACAAAAACTTCATTTGTGTTCATATCATCTGAAAACAAAGAACGAATTGCCATAAAAAACGAACAATGAATGAATGGGTCACTGAATGTATTTCATTCAACGCTATACGTTCATAGCACTCGGGACTCTGTAACTAAGGACAGTGCAGCAACTATTTCTTGTGACTGGTTTGGTTTTTAGACGCACTGGGATTTATTGTTTTTCATTCAAATACATGTCGCTTAGCGCCATTTCACCTATTTTTTGTGTGTTTGTACCATTTCTTGTGAGCAGTTTCTTTCCAATCCTGTCACCAAAATCATGGAGTGATCATCATGCAAGTGCTAGTTGACATTGATTGTTTTATTAGCCTATCAATGTCACTTTCTTGCAAAATTAGACCAATCTTGAACTTTAAAGCAATTCCTTTGAACATCTTTAAAAGGACTTCCTCTCAGTTTTTCATCTCACGGTGCTTAAATCCTGAGACAGTGAACTAGCATTGTGCTGGTTGTTGGATTGTGTTCTGCTTCTTCCAGTCTTCCTGAGAGCAATTGAGCTCTTTTGTGACCCAAACACCTGGTGTATGCAAGATAATGTATCTTTTCTGCTGTTTAACCACTGCAGATTTATTCTCTCAATTCTCCAACCTTTTGATTTACCTATTTATTTATTTTTCTGGATTTTTATTTCCATGGTAGAAGAAGCACAGAAAGCAGTGTCAGTCTAAGGTAGGGTTGATGTGCTTAGCCCTATACAGCACTATAGTTTGTTTGTTTTGAACCGTTTTGCATAAAAGTTTCATAATACAGAATTAATCTTTCAGTAGTTTTAACCAAAGCAGATTTATTATCTCCACTCAGCCAAGTATGTATTTAAAGAACTAGGCAGTGAGAGAGTCTGCTCCCTTCAAAAGATGATGATCCAGAGTCAATACCATCCTTCTCTGCAGCATCTACGGGTCAGCAGACTCAGCAGTGATGACCTTGGAAAGAAATGTCTGGCTCACCACCTACTAAGAGCAGGGGCATACATAGGGGTTGGCAAGACCGTTTTTTCACACCAAGAGTTTCAATAATCGAATCAGATTGTCTTGCAGCTAAACATTTATATTTATTCAAACATACACACCATCCAAAAATAACACAAAGTATTTGCACACATCTGGACCAATACAGCAATGTGTAAGCATTTCAACATATTATCCATTTTAGATGTTAAAAGTATTGGTAAAGAATTTCTAGCTGCAAACGTTTTTATATGTCTAAAATTCAGTTAGAGGCGTACCCATAAGCATAAGGTTATTGGATAAAATATGGGGTCCTCAAAGAAAAAGGGTTGTGGCTTAACCATTCTGTCCAATCTATGATTAAAGCCAGACACAAAGGACTTTCTATATACATGGTTAAAGCGGCACTGTCATGGCCGTTTTTTTTAAACCCCCCCTCCCAACTCCACTACATCTAATTGACCCCCTAGTTATCCCCAAATGCCCCTAATATTACCTAGTTTTTAACTTTATTTTCTGCCCCGACCAAGGTCTTTGTGTGGGTAGATGAAGTTCTTGTGGGACATGTCATTTGCCTCACTAGATAGCGCTATGAAATTCCTACACATGCCCAGTTAAACACTTGGGCATGCGAACGGGAATTTAATCTATTCATTCGTTTGTCAAAAAGATGAATGAATGAATAGAAATGTCAGACGAACAAACAAACACCGAATATCGCTGTTTGTTTGTTTGTTCAGTTTATTACAAGGAGGGAGCTACCGGTGCACAGCTCCCTCCTTGTAAAATGTGAAAATAGAAGCGGCAGGGAGCAGTGCTCCCCGCCACTTTCAAAGCCCCCCAGGTCCCCCCTCATGTCTACTAAACATTGAGTAACCTGTGGCTGCTCACTGCCTGGCCCCCACCCCTAAGCAGCGGGTGGGGGCCCTATTGTCCTCCCACTGGCCCCCACCCCTGAGCGGTGGGTGGGGGCCATAAAAACAATGGGGGGGACCTATTGTCCTCCTCCTTGCCCCCACCCCTGAGCGACGGGTGGGGGACCTAAATAGCAATGGGGGGACCTATTGTCCTCCCCCCTAGCCCCAACTCCTGAGAGACGGTTGGGGGGCCCTAAATGAGAGTGGGGGGGCCATATTGTCCTCCCCCCCAGCCCCCACCCCTGAGTGGCAGGTGGGGGCCATAAAAACAATGAGGGGGGACCTGCTCAGGGGTGGGGGCCGGGAGAGGGCAATAGGCCCCCCCTCATTGTTTTTATGGCCTCCACCCGCTGCTCAGGGGTGTGGGCTAGGGGGAGGACAATAGGTCCCCCCTCATTGCTATTTAGGGCCCCCACCAGCCGCTAAGGGGTGGGTGCCAGGTGGGAGGACAATAGGTCCCCCCCTCATTGTTTTTATGGCCCCCACCCGCCGCTCAGGAGTGAGGGCCGGGCTGAGGACAATAGGTCCCCCCCACTCTCATTTATGGCCCCTACCCGGCGCTCAGGGGTGGGGGCCGGGGGGAGGACAATAGGTCCCCCACTCATTGTTTTTATGGTCCCCACCCAGCGCTCAGGGGTGGGGGCCGGGGGGGAGAACAATAGGTCCCCCCCATTGCTATTTAGGGCCCCCACCCACCGCTCAGGGGTGGGGGCAAGGGGGTAGGACAATAGATCTCCCCCTCATTATTTTTATGGCCCCCACCCAGCGCTCAGGGGTGGGAGCCGGGGGGGGGGGGGAAGCCCCCCTCCTTTTTTTTACAGCTGTGAGCAGCCACAGGCCACAGACCCTTATGCTATTATGGGGGTTTTACTGACCCTCATAGAGTGAGGGGGGACCTGGGGGGCTTTGAAAGTGGCGGGGAGGACGGCTCCCTGCTGCTTCTATTTTCACATTTTACATGGGAGCTGCACACCGGTAGCTACCTCCTTGTAATAAACGAAACGAACAAACAAACACTGATATTCGGTGTTTGTTTGTTCGTCTGACATTTCTATTCATTCATTCGTCTTTCTGATGAATGAATGAATAGATTAAATTCACGTTCGCATGCCCAAGTGTTTAACTGGGCATGCGCAGGAATCTCACCGCGCTATCTAGTGAGGGACTTCATCTACCCACACAAAGATGGCGGCGCTCTGAACCTAGGTCGGGGCAGAAAGTAAAGTTAAAAAACTAGGTAATATGGCTTAGGGGCATTTGGGGGTGAATAGGGGATCAATTAGATGTAGTTGAGTCGGGAGGGGGGGGGGGGTTAAAAAAAACGTGATTTGGCCATGACAGAGCCGCTTTAATAAATAGAAAACGTCCAGTGCGTATACACACTGCATCCATTACACACATTCTCATTCTACATCCACTATACACATCACATTTAGTATAGCATCCTTATGGTTAAGCCTTGACCTTAAGCTTTGCCAGGGAGCACACAATCAGTCGTAACAGAAACACTGCACATACTGACTCCCACCACCATGACCACTTCAAATTACTGAAGTGGCCATGGTGGTTGAAGTCACCCTTTTAGGAAGTGTTTATCACAATAGGTTGCATTAAAGATAGAATGGATTTTATTTTCTAAAAAAAACATAACACAGAACTCGAAGCAAACGTTTCAATAGATCCTAAGAGTCCCCTTTTATGGAATAAAAACAACAAAACACGAGACCCTTGACAGCCTCTCTCATGGACATCGAACCCATACAAGCCCGGGGTTGCCAAGACAACAGGCCGCGCCACTCCCAGCAGGCTCACTGTTGGGCAGCGACTGTCAGCCGTGGATTCCTATTGGCCAGCGCCGCAATTGGTGTCCTCGCTGTGTGCAGCATCGCCTGTGAGGGCTACGATTGGCTGTTTGTAGCCGCAACAGCTGAGCAAATCGCGCAGCTATTGGCTCAGCTTGCTGTCACTCAGCGGCCTAGTCCTCTGTCCGGCTACTGCGCAAGCGCAGTCTGTGGGGCTGGCAGTTGGTCCAAGGTTTGGGGGCAGAGGGAGAGTGACAGGGAGGCTCCGTCATCATCCGCTGCGGCCTCTGATGGGCGACTCGGGTTATCGGCTAATACCGGGAGCCTTGGGTACATCTCTGGTGTCTGGAGCGAATCATAAAGCAGCCGGGAAGATGCCGGTAAGGGTCTCTGGGGTGAGTCCTCGCCTTGTTGCTAGGGGCGGAGAGCTGGCTGTCATTGATTCCCCCATTCATCCTCATGTTATAGCACTGAGCTCAGCAGCTCTGCCGCCTCGGGCTGGCCTTACAGCAGAACTGTCCATGGTGAGCTTTATGGACCAGCCACAGTAGAGTATTCTGCAGATTGTGCTATTTGTATATTAAAGGAATACTCACAGGCACCGTAACCACTACATGACTATGTTGTGGTTATGGTGCCAGGAGTCCCCTGGCTCCCTCCATGTGTCACAGATGTATTCCTAACACTAACGTGTTCCTCAGCCCCGGGGGACCCTCCTGCAGCATTGTAAAGGGTTAAATACATTCACTTACCCAATTCCAGCGCTGAGGTCCCTTGGCACTGTGTCGCAGTTCGCCTCATCCGAAAGAGGGACCTAATGCGCAGTGAGCTCTGCACACCCACTAAACCTTCCTCATAGGAATGCATTTCTTCAATGCGTTCCTCTGGGGTTTCCTCTGACGCTGGACGTCTTCCTTCAGAGAGTGAAGATGTCCAGTGTCGTTTCATGGAGTCAAACTCTGTGATACTCCAGGAAGCTCCTGTAGTGGCTGCCTGGTAGATGTCTTCTGGAGGCAGTCTTAGTACTCCATTGTAAATATTGCATTTTCTCTTAAACTGCAGTGTTTTACATTGCAGCACTAAAGGGGACGGGGGACAGGGAACCCAAACCACTTCAATGAGATGAAGTGGGCAGGGTTCCTATAGTGTCCCTTTAAACTTCCTTTATGGCACGATCTGTTTAATTTAGAATTTATCTCCTGCTCTGTTAATAGTCTGCTAGAGCCTGCAGAGCCTCGTGTGTGTGTGTGTGTGTGTGATGTAGAGTTCAATTTACAGAGTAGGAGATAAGTATGTCTAAAGTGAGTTAACAGCTGAAAATGTAAGCCATTTGGTTTTATCATAGAGGCTGTGTGAGTCACAGCTGTGGGAGACTTAATACACAAAAATAAACATTATTTTAATTGAGCAGTTAGACATCAGGAGCATGATCTATACACAAAAACTGCCTTATTAAGCTAATGTTGTTTTGGTGACTATAATGTTATTTTAAAACTATGACCTCACGCTTGCTCCATCTAAGAAAGGATATGCCCAATGATATTTTCATGTGCAAAAGTAGGCACATTATGTGATCATCTGATTTTAAAATAGATAAATTTTACTCTTCTGTCTACTGAAGCATCTCTAGTGGATGTCAGTGTGACAGTGCAATGTAAACAGAACAACAATGTTTCAGGGTTAAAACTACAGGGACATGACACTCAGACCATTTGATTTAAGATGAAGTGGTCTGGGCGCCTATAGTGTATCTTTTAATAGGTGGTCATTATTTCACATTGATGGCCTAGCATTATTGGAAACATAAAGCTGCTGTGTCAGAGCATACACTTTTTTTATTTATTTATTTATTTTTTTAAATAAAACAGACAACGAAGCAAAATAATACATTTTAACATGAGTGGATGAGCATCATAGGAAAACATCAACAAAACCTGTACTGATAAATATACCCATATGGGAATTTTTTTAATAGGGGATTTGTTTTGAAAAAGCACAAACTATGCTTTGTCAGCACTGTGTAGCTGTTTGTTTTATAAGACTAGGGTGGTACGGAGAATGGGCTGGACTCCTCTATGTCGTCTTATGTTACCTGTAAGTTGTGTTGTCTTTATTGTAAAAATATCCTTAAATAAAAATGTAATAAGACTTTGCTTTCTGATGTTTATGTTGATTGTTTAGAACAGAGCTGTCTTTGATGGCTGAAAGGGAGCTATGTCTGTTAGTAATGAGTCACATTTTATGGTTGGTATCGTTGATAGTTGATGTTGCAGGGGCACTGTCTTTATTAAGTAGACTTAATGCATATTAAGATTACCTTAAGAGATTCTTTATGATTTTATATTGTAGCAGGTGCTGTGTTCTGTAAATTGTGTTGTGTTCCTGGCCCATAGACTCTGAATGGATTAGACATATTGCTACTTTTTAACAACAGAACTTACAAAAAGAATGTAAAGATGTATATACTATTACGATAAAATCGTGAGTCTGTGCTCCGATAATGAATAGGCAGAAGAGGGTATTGTCACTAAATCACTGTTCTAAAAAAGAAAAATAATAATAATTTTAGGAACTAGAATTAGTTCATAGGGTCAGATTGCCCTTATTTGGTCAGCATATTGAAAGGAGTCTTGTTATCCAAACTAAAGAGGAACTAACATATTAGTGTGGAAAATGATATTTCTCTTACTCATCCCAGTAGATACCCGTTTAAAAATATGGTTTTGGCATGGTTCCTGGAGTGATAGTTGTTGACTGTTTTACCAAGATGCACTTTGCTTCTGTACCACAGCAGGTAATATGCAAAGCTCTTGATAGTCATGTGATGTGAATTCTTCTCTTACTCATCCCAGTAGTTGGTTGTTGTAGTATAAAAAGGTTACCAGAAAAGACACCTAGTAAAATAGAGTAAGTAGTAACATATACAGTGTAAAGTTTAAAGGGACACTAAACACCAACACCACTCCATCGTGTGTGTGTGTGTGTGTCTATTCCCCCTCGCTCTGGCTTACCCTGGAAAATGAAAGGGGAATCTTGATCCCTGGTGGGTGCGGTATCTAGATGCAGAGTGCACACTCCAGCCTGTTCATAGTAAAGTATCAGTTTGTTGCTAGAGTAACACACAGCAATTTGTCTAATACATTTCTGGTTCCAAAGTTAGTGCCATCTATATGATTGTTGGCAGGCTGGCCAGGGAGATCTGGTTCCCCAATGGCCGCATAGCTCGGTCTCAGAGCTGGGGATCAGGCAGCTGGTGCCCTGCAGGAACTGGCTAGAAAAAGCCTTTCATCTCCCCTGCTGACCTCTACCTATGGCCATCGTGGACCCACTGGGCATTTCCCCAATGGGCAGCGTGGGCCTGGTGTCACGGCTCTCTGGTTGAAAATAACTGCACTGAAATATAAATTGTTACAATATCAAAGTTTAATTCAAAGTAAATGTGAAATATTAGACCAAAATATTAATATAAGGGAAAATCCTCAACTGCTATGTTTTTGGTTGGGCTTTTTAGGTCTAAAATGTGAAGTTTGCTTTTATGTCCTGACAATTAAGTGAGTAACCATTTAAATTTACAAAGAACACCATAAACTGACTATAATTTAAGTGGAGTTAATCGCTAAAAACACATTGAAGTAACGAACCTGTTGATTTAAGTGTTTTTATTTTGTTTCACAGATCAACAAAACAGACAAGCCGGAGTCCAGCGATAATGTCAAAGTTGTGGTTCGATGTCGTCCCTTAAATGAGCGTGAAAAAGCCATGAACAGCAAGATGGCAGTAAATGTGGATGAAATTAGAGGAACTATTGCTGTTCATAAAGTAGACTCCATGAATGAACCTCCAAAGACTTTCACATTTGACACAGTTTTTGGACCGGATAGTAAACAGCTGGATGTGTACAACTTAACAGCCAGGCCTATAATCGATTCCGTACTGGAAGGCTATAATGGTATGCATGCTAATTTAAACAGAACTAATTGCTACTGAATTAATTTGATAGATTTAGAAGTGAATATGTTGCTGTTTCATTACTAAACCGTGAATTGTAGTTAATCAAAAACCAGACTGCCAAAATAGTCACATTGTAAAAAATTCCTTTTTGCCACAGAGCAGGCATTAGGCTGTTAGATTAGGACCTGCCAAAAATGGGGTACATTGACATTGTGGCAGGCTCATTCAATATATGATTATATAATGTAACTAAGCCATCATAATGTTTTGCCAAGCTGAGGTGATTTAAATAAAACTATTACTTTATGTGAGACTTGAAATTGCTGTTTAGTGAATGACCGAGTGCGTTGGATCTGGTATGTTATATATTTAGAAATTTAGCCTATTAGCCTGATTTTTGTGATTGATTTTTCAGCTCATCATTTTTTCCATTTATAAAAATCTCTACAGACTTTTAAATGAACAGTGAACCTGAAAAATATATTGGCGTAATTTAATTTCTCACATTCTATTTTGTTTTAGATTTTCTTTATATTAAATATGTTTCATATATAAATATTTGACATAAAATAAGAGCCCAATTTCTCCTGAACAAAATGATATATAATAGGTGTGGGTGCACTTAAAGCAGCACTGTCATGCCGAACTTACCTTTCCTCAATCTCTTCCTCTTCTCCCCCTCTCTCAGGATCTGTTCTTCTTTAGAATCATAAGACAAAGTAGGGACTATTTGCCTTATGGAGGATTCCTCCGCTTGACCAGCTCTGACCAGCGGAGGAGCAAAGTGTGCTTCATTTCCGCTGGTCAGAGCAATTTTCCCATGATTCTTACCTTTCCTCTGTGTTCCCACGATGCTTCCTGTCATTTTAGACGAAACTGCCGAATTGCGTTCTAACTGAATTAGAACAGTATGTTTGTTTGTTTTAGAACGCTATTCGGCACTTTGTTCGGATCGCAATTTCATTTGAATGAATGAAACTCCGATCCTATTCTTGCTGTGGCTGCATCTTGCAGCCGCTTAGTAGATAACTCCCTAATTCCCACGGTATTAGGGAGCTATCTACTAAAAGGCTGAAAGACCTAAATTGGTCTTTCGGCCACATAGACTAAGTAAAAATTACTTAGTATTAGTATATGCTGCCCCTACTCGCTATACCGCGAGTAGGGGCATGTCTATTAACCAGTGAGCAGCCTGTGGCTGCTCACTGTAAAGTAACAAAAAAATAAAAACCTATCGGGGTGGGGGCCCTAAAGTAAAATAATGGGGGAGACCTATTGTCCCCCCCCACCCCTGCGCGGTGGGTGGGGGTCATAATGATAATGAGGGAGGGGGAGCGGCGGATGGGGGACATAATGATAATGGGGGTGGGGGAACCTACTGTCCTCCCCACCCTCCCCCCCGGGCAGCAGGTGGGGGCCATAATGATAATGAGGGGAGGGGGACCAGCTGTCCTCCCCCCCTGGGGGTGGGGGCCATAAAGATAATGAGAGGGGGCCCTAAGTCAAATTCACCCCCCCATCAAAGGTGACTAGGGGTCCCCAAGCCCCTAGTCACCCACTCCCCCACCCAAATAAAAAAGTCGCCTATCTACCCCCCTCACCCTAAAAAATTGTGAGGGGGGGGGAATAAAATAACTAACCTGTAAAGTAAAATTTAAACTTACCATTCGACGTCTTCTTCTTTTTTTCTCAAATCTTAATTTTTCCGCTCCAAAAAAGGCCAAATAAAAAACCATCATAACCATCGAACTTAAAATAAAATAAAAATCCCAAGCGCAAATAAAAAAAACAGACGAAAAAGAAAAATCCAGAGCGCAAAAAAATAATCCATCTTCAACCATGGAGGGCTCCGCGCATAAAGCCTTCCCCTGCCCTGCAATTAGGCTAAGAACACTCTGATTGGTGGGTTTAAGCCAATCAGAGTGCTCTTTGTCATTTTACACAGCGTGGGAAAATTCCATAGAACTTTTCCACGCTGTGTAAAATGACACAGAGCACTGTGATTGGGGTGGGGGCGAGGGGGTAGGACAGTAGGTCCCCCCCCCCCATCTTTATGGCCGCCGCCCAGCGGTGGGGGCCGGGTGGAGTGGACAGTAGGTTTCCCCCCCTCATTATCTTTATGGCCCCCACCCGCCGCCCAGGGGTGGGGGCCAGAGGGGGATGGACCGTAGGTCCCCTCATTATCATTATGGCCCCCACCCGCCGCCTGGGGGTGGGGGGGGGACAATAGGTCTCCCCCCTTATTTTACTTTAGGGCCCCCACCCGTCGTTTAGGGGTGTGGGCCAATAGTTATGTGGTTTTTTTTTTTGTTTTGTTTTTTACAGTGAGCAGCTACAGGCTGCTCACTGTTTAGTAGACATGCCCCTACTCGCTATACCGCGAGTAGGGGCATTGGGGAGATTTTAATCTCCCTTATGCTATTATGAGGGTCATATTGACCCCCATAGAGTGAGGGGGGGGGGGGCTTATGAAGTGGTGGGGAGCACTGCTCCCTGCCACTTCTATCTTTACATATTACAAGGAGGGAGCTGTGCACCGGTAGCTCCCTCCTTGTAATAAACTGAGCGAACAAACGATCACTGATACACAGTGTTAGTTTGTTCGTCTGATTTTTCTATTCATTCATTCATCTGTCTGAATGAATGAATAGATGAAATTCCCGTTCGCATGTCCAGGTGTTTAACTGGGCATGTGCGGGAATCTCAGTGCTATCTAGTGTGGGCAGATGACGTGTCCCACAGGGACTTCATCTACCCACACAAAGATGGCGACGCCCTGAATAAAGATCAGGGCAGAAAATAAAGATAAAAAAATAGGTAATGTGTGGGGCTTAGGGGTATTTGGGGGTGACTAGGGGGTCAATTAGAGATAGTGGAGGGGGGTTAAAAAAACAAAAACAAAACAGGATTCGGCATGACAGTGCCGCTTTAATATGAAGAGGTAAATTATGGTTGAACAGACAGCTCAAATTCGAGGTTTTGTTTGGTTCAAAACTTGGACGATTGTATCCATCTTTAAGGGATTAAGAGAAATCTGAACACGGTACAGTACCTAAAAGATGGCATCTATATGGATGCAGCCTACAATTATTTTGTTTTATTCAAGCTGGCAAACCCTGTATAACAATGCAAATTTCTCATATCAACAATTTAGTTATTTCTGAACGGTTATATAGTGAGGCAAAATTTGGGCCCTCTTACTTAATGAAGCAGTTTTTATGTATAGACCATGCTTCTGAAGTCTCACAGCTTAATTCTCAATTCAAAGAATAGAACATCAAAATTGGGAATGGATCCCTCTGCACTGTTAAACCTATACAAGGAACATAGTGAGCTATGGTTTATAAGAGTTGAAGATACCCCATTGTACAGCGCTACGGAATTTGTGAGCGCTATATAAATAATAATAATAATAATAATAATAAGATACTACTTTTTTGTTTTTGTGATGGGCCGCACTGGGTACCTCCATCAAGCTCGCTTCCTAGCTCTCCTGCAGGACACAGAAGTGCTTCAGCCCCTAGCGACCGCAGCTTGGCTGGAGTCTCTCTGTCACTTCCCGGGAACAGGGTCATGGGTACAGCTTCTAGTGATTAAGCTCTCCTGTAGAGAGTATAGCTGATCCGCCCAGACTGAGTGAAGGGTGTAAAGCAACTGCTTTATTATGGCCAAGCTGCCTGCTTTTATACACAGCCCCCAGCATGGGGTCTCTATTCAATACAAGGCAAACCCCTCCCCGGAATATCTGGGCCTGGGAAACAATTGCATTAAAGACTGGTAAGCTAATTATCTCCTAGGAGCAGAGAGGCAAAACAAAAATATAAAACATAAAAATATCCCAAACATCATGAAAATATATAATAACTCCACAAATAATACATCCCCAAATAGACATGAGCTGAGTGCCTATGTTCTCCAATTAGCGCTAAGTTCCATGCAGTGTAGGGAAAACGCCACGGGTTAAAGGTCTGACCAGCCGCACACGTGGCCCCATGCCCAAAATAGTTCCAAGGCGTTTGGTGCTTTGGCCGGTGAACTTTCGGGAGCTCCTGCGTCCGAAATATGGGGTGCTCCGTCCGGCTCTTAGGTAGCGTTTGTGTACCTTAGTCTCAGGCACCTTCCCTCCAAAAAGTGCTCTCCTGGAGGGTTTCAAAGTGGTTCAAAACCCCGGAACAACTTGTCCAGGAACCGCACAGTCACCTCATGCCGAAAACCGTTCCATAACATTTGGGGCTAAGTACCGCTGAGGTGACCGGGTCCCATGAGGTCCTCATTCCAAATTTAGTTCCATAACGATCGTGGCGAAGTACCGCTGAGGGAACTTTGTGGGAACGTCCGCCAGGGAGCTAGAGTTTGGTTACATTCGATTGAAGGAAAAGTGCCGAACCAGGGGCACCGAGGGAAAGCTGCTAATGGTGGCTGTGTAGGGTAACTCCAACCTAGAACATAGTCGGTTGGCAGGGGGCCTGACAATCTAAGTACCAAAACAACTGTTACTAACTGGTCAATCATGTCCCTGCAGTCACACTGTTCAATTCTCCATTTGCCATTTGGAGTAAAATCACTTTGTTTATGCAACCCTAGTCACACCTCCCCTGACTGGGACGCACACAGCCACCCTACACACTTTCTAAAAAGTTTTTTTTTTTTTTTTTTTTAATTTTTAACTTCCCTTATTGCACAGTTTTAGTTAAGACTTTATTACCTCTTGCTCTTTTAGCCTGCTAAAGCTTGCAACAACTTCCTGTGTGTGATTTTTAGGTCAGCTGGACATCAGAACTTCAGCTGTAAGATCTTACTGAAAATAAAAAAACAATTTTTTCATGGAGGCTGTGTAAAATAAGATCATGTTTTAAAACTAATATACAAGACTAATACAGGTGAACTAGATTTGCAGCTTCTGCAATCTACAAATTAAAAATAGCATAATAAAATACATGCTCAAATCTATACAATTTTACAAGGCTATTTAAAATTATCTAGGTAACCAAATATGAGAATTAATTTCCACCATATAGCCATATCATGTTAAGCCCACCACTATGTCACAGTACTCCAATATCTAAATATGTAAACCACAGAAATCACAACATAACAAAATACTTTACAATACTAGGTCTTGTGTAGCTGTACATTTGGTTAAAACAAAGCACTCGTGTAGGGCTGGTTTTGTGGTCTGTGAGTATTGAGTTGCGCTTGGGATAAATAAGCAATGCATATTACAGGCAGATCGCCATGTTGCTAGCATGTGTTTAGTTTGCGATATGCTATGACAGTGCTGCATATTGAAAAGCCCATTTATTTGAATGCCATATATTATTATTGTCTTCATGGCATGAAAACACAACTTCAACTGTATTGCCTTGTATGCAAGTGAAAACCAAAAATTCCACAATACCTTATTTATTTTCAAATTAAATCATTCAGACTAACTATTACATTTTTCAACCAATTCAACATAATTTTTATCCATTCCAAAGAGGATTACCACGATAGCTGGTTGGATGATCAAGCTAAGAAAATTGACATTTTGGGGGAAATCTATGAAAAACCTGCATCTATAATAGTAGTTGAGGAATACCAGGGTACAGTCTCAGGGTCACTCATTACACTGGCGCTAAGCTGACTGGCCACAGCCGTTTCATCAGTTAGGATATATACACTGTTTGGAGCTGTAGCTTGCTTGTCTGCAATGGGAAGTAATCAAAGGGACCTTTTTGTGGAGGCAACTTGGATGAGCTAGGAAAGTAGCAGACTCTGTATTTGTCCCAGCAAGGGGTCTGCAAACCCACTAAGGTAACAACCTCGTGCACTCCTCGTTTATCCCTTGAGTCCTAAAAGACTTCTATTGAGGATTCTAAAAGAGGGACTTGAGATGGAGGAGTGTGTTGAACCATTGCATTAAGGGTGTTTCTGCATCCTTTGGATGAAAGCGACTTCATACCATATGCTAGTGCACATGGCCAGCGTTTTCAATTGCAGGGTTAAAAAGACATGCACTGCACCCAGACCACTTCATTGGTCTGGGTACCTTTTGATCTCCTAATTATTATTTCCTGTTCTTCTTCATTAATATTCCAAATATCATCTGCAAAACGTCTGGAATATTATTGCTGGGATAAATTGAAAGGACAAAGACAATTGGCACAATTATCTTCTTTGTAGCCAGTTTGGGTTTATTGCTGAATGGGATATTTGTCTGTTATCTATAGTCCTTTATGCCCTGTGTCTAGCATTTGTGTTGAGTTGTAAAGCTTCATTGTTTAGCTTTCATTTTATGTTTTTTAATAGTCCCTTGAAATTATATCAAAACAGTGTTGTATTGTTTGTTTTATTTATTTATTAGCGATTCCAGTTGCGACTTTACGGCCTGGCAGTGTATATTTAAGGCAAAACAGACCTTAAAGATTTTGCTTTTTCTCCTTTTTATTTTATTTATAACAAAGACAATTGTTCCATATATTAACATCAAAGACAGACATGTACATATAATAAACGTATTGAAAAGGTAAATTACATCACCAAAAGCAGAACACACATTTAGGATCCAGCACATAACTAATCCCACAAGGGAAAAGAAAAATAATTTACCAACTAGGTTACATATGTAACCAGAGTTGCAATTCTTCTTGCCTTGAAAGAGTTCCAATGAGGATATGCTCTTCATAGAGTAGTCCAGTTTCTGGATTTTTTTACAGTATTCCTGAACAGACAGATCTGACTGAAAATTATGTTTCAACTTTAAAAAAAAAAAAAAAAAACTCAAAGTACTTCTTGCAGGAGGCTTCCAAGACCTCCACACTTGCTTTTAAGTTTCTTTGTGCTCCCTCTCCTTTGTGGGTGAAACAAACCGCTGGAGTCCAAAGGTGAAATGGATAACATTGCTTTACATTCTAGCTACAAGAGGATGGTTTCCAGCAGTAAGTCTAGTGCAGAGCTTAAGAAATTTCCATTGTGTGTAAGAGTCAGATTTTGTGACCTGTTTTTGATATCTTATTTGTTTAGATGACTGATTCTGACTCAATTCTTTGATCAAAAGGGTTTAATTCCCTGCCAGAGACACAGGCCAAGTAATAACCAGATTAACCCCTGCAATGCTGGCACAGAATTATGCCCACTGTGCATGACTGTTTACCGTTTGTACTCTAATCTAATGCGCCATCAAATCTATTACTCGCTTAAATTTTTGAAACCTGGAAGCCGAAAAATTTTTTCGCTGGCGAATGTAGGGCTCATTTGCACATGAAGATACTGTACACAGACAACAAGTCTTGCATTCCAGTGATGCATATTTCGCCCAGACGAATTTCTCTCCAGCAAATTTGTGTCGTATGCTCATCGTATCTCCAAGATGTCGTTGTCAGAGTAAGTCGTTAAGTGAGGAGCAACTGGTAAATCAAGAGAGAATAGTACGCATGTACTGTGCTTTCCTTTTTGTGAGTTCCGATATCGTACTCTAATCTAATGCACTGTGTGTACTTCAGTCTAAGAGTCCTCAAATCTAATGTGCATTCAAATTTTGGAGACTTTAGGTACGCGTTAGATTAAGATTCCGTATTTACTTGTTTGATAATAGTTTTTTCCGGTACAATTTTATGTTTTTAAATCCCTTGGTCAACAGTACCCCTACAGGTAGTAGTAGGAATTTCTTAGAGATATGTGCGAGAGGAATTACATCACAGTGTAGGTGTGGAGTAGCGCTTTCCTCCCAAGATGATGGGGTGTATATAATCAATAGACAGCTCAAGGGGACTATCTGATCAGTCCAGTGACTGATGCGCAAGGGGAAAGCGACTGACCTATGCTAGGGAGGGACTTAGACATTGCTCCGACTAAAGAAAAAGAGGTGACTTTACATAGCAAGCTGTGATTTAAGAATCTTATCTTCAAATTTAGTGTGTAAAGTATTGATCTGCTCAATGTCCATAATTAGTTAACCCAAAGCATTAATGTGACCACTATCTTCCCAACAGTCCAACATTGGTGTACCTGTTGTGGCATTGTAACTACTATCTGTGAATTTACAGATAATTTAATATTCATCTGCCTGTGTTCCAGGGACAATTTTTGCATATGGACAGACTGGAACAGGTAAAACCTTCACTATGGAGGGCGTTCGTGCTGTCCCAGAACTCCGAGGCATCATCCCGAATTCCTTTGCTCATGTATTTGGACATATTGCTAAAGCTGAAGGAGATACACGGTAAATAAAGGGTCTGTCTGAAAAGTCATACATTTCCAAATGTTAAAACATTCAGGGAGGAAGTTACTGACATAAATATATTTAATGTTAATCTACTTTGGTATTTTCAGTGCTGTATTTTTGTTATATATATCTAAGATCCTCTATATGACAATCCTAATAACATCCCAAAGAAGTGGTCTGGGTGCAGTTATCCTATGTTTTTAACATTATATGGTTAAAGGGATTCTCCAGTGCCAAGAAAACATATTAGTTTTCCTGGCACTGCAGGACCCTCTAGTGCCCGTCTACCTCGCATCCCCATCCCAAGTTGCTGAAGGGGTTAAAACCCCTTCAGTGACTTACCTGAATCCAGCTGCGATGTCCCTCGGCGCTGGGTCAGGCTCCGCCTACGCTGATGTCGGCGGGGGAGACCTAATGTGCACACGCATTAGACCTCCCCCATAGGAAAGCATTATTCAATACTTTCCTATGGGGATTTCGGTGACGCTGGAGGTCCTCACATAGCGTGAGGGTGTCCAGCGTCGTTTTAAAAAACTTTTCGTGTTCTATAAACACGGAAGTCTCCTCTAGTGGCTGTCTAGTAGACAGCCACTAGAGGAGGACTTAACCTTGCAATGTAAATATTGCAGTTTATGAAAACTGCAATAATTACACTTGCAGGGTTAAGGGTAGTGGGAGTTGGCACCCAGACCACTCCAATGGGCAGAATTGGTCTGGGTGCCTGGAGAGTCCCTTTAAATCCACCTCTAGTGGCTACCTTCCTTAGTGAAACTCCACCCTGGAATCAAATGCTGCTGATGACAGTGTTTGATTGGAGGAGCGTGACATTTGACTATGCATGTCTGGTTTGGGTTTTTTTTTTTTTTTTTTTCAAGAATTTGACCATGCATGTCTGGTTCTTTTCTATGTAAAGCAATTAATTTGAGGAGGTTACGGGTAATGTCAGAATGCTGATATCACCGAAGGAGGTGCTGGAGGTTGCAGTGGAGGAGTTCTGCAGCTCTGGAAACAAGCATAGTGGGTTAGACAGTGATCACAAAGCAGTAAGGAACCTGTAGCCTCCAAATAATGTTGTTTTTTTTTTTTCTTCATATATACTCTTTTGTGCTTTTCTTAGTTTTGTTCTATTAGGGAGTTAGTAGATATCTCCTTAATCTAGTGTACTTGTATAAAAACATATTGATACAGATTGAGTTCTACAATAAACTGCTGAGAGATCAAAAATAGGAAAAGGGCTTGAATGGGATTTCTCAGCTGTTTAGTAAATAGGACTACCAAAGTAGCCAAACTGAAAGCAGAGCATTCTGAGAATTTTTCCAATTCATCTATTTTAGCCTTAAAGGACCACTCCACACCCCAAGTGCTTTATGAGTGAGGAGTATCCTCATTTAACCCTAATTTATGCGAAATCGGCACCTTTATAAATTAACTAGGGAACTCCCCCTGGCTGTCAAACAGTCAGGGAGGGTTATTTCCTACTTCCGTTCGCTCACCTGCCACCCCCTCCTTCCATCACAAACCTCAGACCAGTTCCTCACCTTATAATTGCACGATGGGCGTGCAGGTGTGCACGGCTTTTCAATGGGAAGCCTTTAATTGTTTTGTTTTTTTCTGTGAAGAGACTGAAGTCTCTTCTGGGAATAAAGCGGAGGGTTTATAAAGGTTGCAGTCATAAGAACTGCAGCTTTTGTAAGCTCTTTTAGACTATACTCGCAATGAATACATACATGGAAATATGGATTGTGGAAGTGTGGAGTGGTGCTTTAAATTTGAAATTCACATTGAATTCCCTTAGCGAATAACACTGTTAATACCAAATTAGGAAGTTGTCTACTAATATCTTCCTCTTACATTCTGAGATGTTATTATTTTGCATGGAAAAGACATCATGTACATTTTCTTGTAGATTTTTGGTCCGAGTGTCGTATCTGGAAATTTATAATGAAGAAGTACGTGACTTACTGGGAAAAGACCAAACCCAAAGGCTTGAGGTACATTTAATAAATTTATATATTTTGCCATTTTAACATTTATTACGTTTTATATAAGGTGGGGATTTCTATGAACACTCTTCCTGCATGTAAAAAAACATACTCGTTTGAAGAATTTTAGTTTTCTACAAATATTGTTTATAGAGGTTGACACTGTGTATTGATGCGCAGAAGAATGCTGTCCACACATTGGGGAAAAAAATAATTTCCTTGACTCTTTCCTCAAAATAGCTTAATTTCAAAGCAGCGATGTCACACAAGTAAAAGATATACTAAGACAAAGTGGGGACTAAAGCTTGACAAAAGGCAAAACTAAATATTTTTTTTTTTTAAATTTTTTTTTTTTTAAATTTTCTCCGTCAGTAGTGACGGCTGTGGGGAAAACAGAATTGTCTATGGAGTATCCCATGGTCTTCTCCAGCGACCTCAGTGTTTTTCTCTTGAGCATACCTGCTCTAAAGAGAACTGACAGAGCATTGCGGTGGCCATGCGTGACAGGTTCCGGTATGTATAATCAACCTTAGCCTGCACCCTGCGACAAACACCCAACTGCAAAGTCACTGTAAGGGGTCTTTGCAAATTACCGTGACACACCCACTTTAAGTGATTTATTTTTATTTTTTTTTTGTTAAATTTTTTTTTTTAAAGGCATTTAACCGCAAACTTGTCTCCCTAGTGCCTGTCCGCCCTTCCTCCTACAGACTTGCCGCAGCCACCAGACTTCTTATTATTATTCTGCTTTGCAGATATAGTAGTGATTGACTGAAAGATCATCTCACCAGAAAAAAAACTTTAAGATGAATTTGTTTGGAGAGAGGAGAGTCCCTTTAATATATTATATGTAAATTTGCACAATATTATTTTGTCATGTAAATGTTCATACTTTGTAGAAAGGAGCTTCCATAATATATTAAGTATGCTATACAAAACAGGAATACTTGCTAAGCTGTAATATGCATTTGTGTATGCATTTGAAGGGGGGTTAATTAAACAACAAATCCTACTTACACAACCTAAGGTTATCACTAGCTAATTGCTACCACCAATGCATTCTATCAGGCATCTTGGGTCATTTCTTCAAACCTAAACGTAGTGGTGCAATAAATGTCCATACAACATAATTTGGTAAATTGATGCCTATAATCCTTCAGAGAAATTCAGGATTCAGGAGAACAAGAGACATCACATTCCAGAGTTCATGCTGACGTCCCCAAAATAAAAGTCCAAATGGAGTGCTGAGTGGAAAATCAACAGAAAAAATGTGTTGCACGTAGAATGCAGCACTGAGGTATGAGAGCCTCTCTGACTCTTATGTCTCGACTATATTTAGACCTGTGCTGGAATTAGGTGTAGGAAAGTAGCCTTTGGTTTGTATATTAAAAAAGAAAAAAAAGAAAGGGGGAATGATTTATTAAATACTGGGATACATTACAATCCAGCATTAATCACTTATTGGTAATGATTCCTAGAATACAGGATACACTGAATTGTCTGACCATAAAAAAAAAAGTGTGTGTGTGTATGTGTATGTGTGTGTGTGTGTGTGTGTGTATGTGTGTGTATATATATATATATATATATATATATATATATATATATATATATATATATATATATATATATATATATATATATATATATATAATATATTCATTTCTTCTTTACTCTCTAGATTACACTGTCCACTTTTTGCATCTCTCCACTATTTTTAGTTTAACAAGCTTTATACAGGATACTTCTGCTTCTGTACTAGACATTTTTTTTTTTTTTTTTATTACATAATGTCCAGTGACAATTGAAACTGACCCTCTATTAGTGTAGTCAATAAATTGGAAATAAAAGGATGGGAACATTTTCAGAGATTTATTGATGCAGGGATATGGCTTTCAGTGATTCTAATTTATTTTTTTTAACCTCTAATAAAAGAAAATAATTTTTATTTTGGTAAGTGCAGGGGCAGAAAGCTGCATGGGATAGAAGAACTTTAATGAGAGTATCTTTAGAATGTTGTTGACTAAAGTTGTTTCCCTCTTTTTGTACTTTATTCTAGGTTAAAGAGAGACCTGATGTTGGTGTTTACATTAAGGACCTATCTGGTTATGTGGTGAACAATGCTGATGATATGGATAGAATTATGACTTTAGGACACAAAAACCGTGAGTGCAGTTTATTATTTACAAGAAATAAAATATCACTCCTATAAGCAGGAGAAAAACTAGCTTTTTTGGGGGGATATATTATGCCCAAAGCTAACAAATTCTTACATTTGTTGCAACAAAAACAAGGTGATTGCGCAAACAGTGAGATATTTACCTCTTGTTATGCAATAAATAGCATAAAACCTTTATAATAAAGACATAAAAGACCATCATAGTGTAGTATATTCCAAAATATAAAAAGCAGTTACAAAAAATAAAATAAAATGGAAAACTCACAATTTTTAAGTTGGCTTTTCATTAATATAAAGATATCAGGTGTTAAACTTCACTTATCAGGTCCACAGGTAGTTGGCAATTTCACTGATGGTCCGGAACCAGATGACATTAAAAAGCTTTTAATTCAATACAAGATAAAAAGCAAAACATTTAATATAGCACAATGCATTCCAACCATAGTCTGGCCTTTCTCAGGTGCATATAACCTATAATACGTGTGCCAACACACATATGCAGAAAACAGATTAAAAGTGATTTTCAATACCCCATTAAAAGCGTAAAACCGTTTTTCTTCACTTCAAAATGATTATTGTATTTCTATATACTTTCCATTTGCCTCACCTCTCTTCCACCAAAGTGTTAAAGGGACACTATAGTTACCAGAACCACTGCAGCTGAATGTAGCGGTTCTGGTGTCTACAGTCTGTCCCTGCAGGATTTTCAATGTAAATACTGCCTTTTAAATGGAGACACTGAAGGTTCCCCAGAGATGCATTGATTCAATGGGTCTCTATAAGGAAATGCTGATTTCAATACTTTGGAAAAGCATTGGATTTGCTGAGATCATCAAGATTGTTGATCTTAGCCAGGGAGGTGGGGTCAGCTGCAGTGAGGGAGAAAAGGTCAGTTTAAAACACATTCAAAGCAATCTGAAGGGTGCCAGGGGAGCTAAGCAGTTAGCTTGCTGGATGTGTTGAGAATTGTTTATGTGGAGTACATGGAGTACCAGTGAGTCAAAGGTTTGTAAGACAACTCTTGTGTCTTGGCATTAGGAGGGAATTTGTGGGTCAGATCCCTAATGGAATCACATTCCCCATCTGTGAGTTAAACGTCCTGAGCTTCTGCCCACTTTGCCATAAATGGGGGAGGGGAGAAGTACTTTTTTTTTTTTTTTAAAATTGGTATATTATTCAGCATGTAAAACTCCTCTTCTTGTGGTCCCTTGACTTTTGATGACATGTTAAATGTATGTTATCAGTTTTGATCATAGTTTCACTTTCAATCACTGCAGGAAACACGTACACCATAAACAAAAAACAGACCATTAAAACACTGTTTAGATCAGGGGTTTTAGTTACATAGATTGCAAAAGGTATGATAAGATAAGTCTTACTCACTATTTCTAAACTCCTGTCACATGAAATGCAGTACTACAAAAATTTTATATTCACTAAAAATATATAGCACACAAATAGGTGACCACAAACCCAAATGTACAGAACTATTAGAGATGACTTTTTATTTCTAATTTTATCCACATGACTTACATGAATTCGCTAAACTCTCCCCATAGAGAATTATTGGTATAAGAAGATGAGTGGTGCAGTACAGTAATTGCTGTGGTCAGTAGGTCTCCCAATAAGCTCACATCTGCAGCGTGGAGGTTTCTCCATGAGAAAGCTCTGATTGGTTTATTCCCCAGCACATACGCTTAGGATAACGTGAAGGGTCTGCAGTGGCTGCAGACAGCAGGTCTGAAGGTTTTGCAAGTGGATTTCATTTACCCCCAAAAAATATGAAACAAAAAAAATGCATGCTCTTTTTCTTTTGAGGGATACATCTACTAAATAGAAAAAAAAAAGTAATGCAGTGGCATGTTCCTTTAAAGGTTGCTCCACATCTTTACTCCACAATGGGACTGTGGAGTTGTATTCCGCTTCATGGTACTGCAGCCAATATACACATGTTTTTGAGGGAATAAAATTGTAATTTTAAAGAGCTCAATGAATTCGAGTGTGGTACTGTGATAGGATGCCATTTTTGCAATACGTCCGCTTGTGAAATTTCATCCATGCTATTATTCCACAGTCATCTGTAAGTGGTATTATTGGAAAGTAGAGGCTTTCAGGAACATCAGCAACTCGCCCACGAAGTGGAAGACCATATGTCACAGAGCAGGATCTCATGAGTGCTGAAGCTCATGGTGCATAAATCTGGCTGAATCCATAGCCGAAGTGTTCCTAACCTCCACTGGCATTAATATCAGAACAAAAGCCGAATGGGTTTCTATGGCTGAGTAGCTGCATTCAAGCCTTACATCACCAAGTACAATACCGATCGTCTGGTCGAGTGATGTAAAGCATGCGGTCACTGGACTCTGGAGCCGTGGAAACATGTTCTGTGGAGTGACAAATTACACTTCTCTGTTTGGAAGTCTGATTAACGAGTTTGGGTTTGGTGGATGCCCGGAGAATGTTACCTGCCTGACTGCATTGTTACAATTGTAAATTTTGGTGGAGGAAGGATAATGGTATGGGGCTGCTTTTCATGGGTTGGGCGAGAGGAGCCATGTTTTCAGTGGAGGACAGTATTAATGCTGTAGCGTAGTAAAACATTTTGGACAATTCTATGCTTCCAACTTTGTGAGAACAGTTTGGGAAAGGCCCTTTTCTATTCCATCATGACTGTGGCACAGTGCACAAAGCAAGTTCCATTAAGACATGGTTGGATGAGTTTGATGTGGAAGAACTTGACTAGCCCGCACAGCGTTCTGACCTCACCCCCATCGAACACATTTGGGATGGAACAGAGATTGTTAGCAAGGCCTTCTCGTAGAAAATCAGTGACTGACCTCATAAATGCTCTACTGAATGAATGGGCAAACATTCCCACAGGAACAAAAAAACTTGTAGAAAGCCTTCACAGAAGAGTGGAAGTTGTTATAGCTGCAAAGTGGGGACCAAATAATAATTCCTTTTTTGTATTTTTTTTTTTTCTGTGCAGAGGTGGTTACAGGCATATGTCAAGTGCCACAACAGCATGCATAAATTGAGCATCAGGGTTATCACAGTGACATTGGAAAGAATTGCACATTTTTGTTTATAAGTTGGAATAAGCTAGGAATAACGGTAGCATCAATAAAGTTAGTAACCGTTTGGCATAGAACAGTAAAACATTGGGAGAGTAACATTCTCATGGCACATAGCTGTAGCGCAGTGGGAGTGTAGCTGGTGTTGGGGGCACTAGTTGTCGGTATGAGCATAGGTAGCCTAGAGTTTTGGCCTGGAGCGTGATGGTCTGCAGTGTATGGGCTTGCGCTGGGGTCGTGCTATGCTGGTGGAAGCCGTGCTGTGTTGCGTGGTGTGAGGTCGTAGCGACTGTGCTGTAGAGCCGGTTCTCGTATGATAGTGATGTGGTACGCTGGTGGCCCATGTGGTCTGTGAGTGGCTATAGGGTGTCCATGGCTGCAAGTGCTAGTGTGGGTGCTCCATAACAAGAAGTCGCAAAAAAAACTTTAACAATAATATGGTTTAACTGGTTTACAAATTCAGTGGGTACAGCAAGTGGTGTTGCTGAGGTATGGTGGTTGGTAAGCCAGGTGACTTCGGGGCTGCTACTTTGGTTGCTGTCACGGCTCGTCTGGGGACAAATGGGACCACTGTTGTGGGGTTCCAAGTGGAGCCGTGAGCTGGTGTGGTGCTGGTCTCCAAGGGGAGATGATAGATCGAGGGGATTCCCAGTGTCGGTAGCAGTTCATTTGCCTCTTGTATGTCCCGGATGGTATAGGCCGCATTCCCGTGGTTGATTAGCAGTGTGCGCGAACCTCTCCAATGGTAGATGATTTTATGCTAGTGTAGGAGGGCTGTAAAGGGTTGGAGTGTGTGTCGCCATGCCAGAGTGGATTCCGACAGATCTGCGTAGAAGGAAAGCTGCATGTTTTCGAACGGATATTGTGAGTGGTTTTGTGTGGTCTTCATTACCGCCCTCTTGTCCCTGTGGTTTTGAAAATGAACCAGAAGGTCCCGTGGGGCCGTTGTTGGGACCTTAGCTGCTCGTGGCAAGCGAAACATGTGTTCTGTGGGCAGTCTGTGTATTAGTCTCCGCAGTATGTGAGGGAGCTCAGTCTCCGGTATCTCCTCTCCGATGCCTCGGATTTTAATGTTCCGGCTGCGACTCCGGTCCTCTAGTGTTGCTATGCGCTGCTCGTAGGTAAGGTGCTGTAGTTTGAGTTCTTGGACCGTTTGCTACAGGAGTTATGTTTGTTGCTTGGTGCACTGGGAGTCTGCCTCCAGTGTGCCCATGCGGCCCGTTAGGCCCTGCAGGTCCTTGCGCAGTTGGGCCATGTCGGCCTGTATTGTTAGTCGGAACTCCGCTAGGAGGCCTTTCATGACTGTGACGGTCACCGGTGAGGAGTCTGGTCTCTGGGGTGACTGGCGGGGTGGTATCCCGTATGTGGATTCTCCATCTCCGCCTCTGTGGTGAATTTATCAGATACTTCCGAGCCATAGTCGTTGTAGGCGGCCATGTTTGGGCCTTGGACGCTGAGCGCTTGCTTCCACATATCACCTATACTTTGGTGTTGCCGCGGGTTGTTGGGATTTGGCTTTTTAGTTTTGCGGCAGTCCACGGGTCAGTTTAGTGCCGGTTTCGTTGAGATGGGTTCTTGTTAGCGGGCCCAAAGTGCTTGTTCGCTGCGGAGCTCGCTTGGCATGTGGCTATTCAGGTTGGTTGCTTGGCTCCGCCCCAATGCCTTTTTTGTATTTTGAATGCTAAGTCATAAAAGTCCCTGTTGGAGTAAAGGCCAGGTGTCGCAATACATTTATTCACATATATGTAGTGTTGTACACATATGGTGTATATCTCTATCTCAAAGAATTTCAGGTGCATACTTATATTCTAGATTGTATGTTGATGCTAAATATGGTAAATACCAATAAACATTTTTTTTAATTTTTTAAACCTTTTGGATCAGAAATGATCTATGAGCATTAACATCAAGATGATAAAATTTACTAGCTATGCCCTGCATAAGAGTGTAAAGAATTAAGTGGGTAGAAAGAAAAGAATGTGGAGTGAGAAGTAAAGAAAGCACTCCCAAAGGGAATCAAAAAGAATTGCTTAAACACACAGTCATCATTCTGCTCTAGTCAGGAGACTCCAATTCAGTAGAAATTGAATAAATGCATGAGTCATGTCACCTTGCATCAAAAAATAACCGTAGGTACACTGGTGAGCAGCACTCTCAAAGAACTTCCTGGATCCAATACTGTAGACTCAACAGCATGGTAGAATTTTCCTGACCAGCAGGTTTGCAGTTTACATCACCTCCATGACTGTGTCGCTCCCAGCTGTCTATGGCATCTTTGCAGGACTACTCACTGCACTGACCACTCAGCCACCATAGCTGACATCTAGCTTCCCAGCCACTAGTCAACCAGCAACCACAACCTAACCACAGAGCCAAAAAAAATAATGCATGGTGTGACAGGGCACAGTGGAAGGAAATCTCCACTAAAACCAAAACTCCTCTGTGGGTGAGGTCATTGGTGGCCCAGGTTGCAGGTAAGAAGATCAGATCCATATAACTGGAAGTGGTGGCTAGTAAGTCAAATTTACTAACTGCATGATAAAAAAAGCGCATTCCTCTCTAAAAATTCCAACGTACCCTTGCCTCAAGAAAGTATTTTGTATTGATTTTAAATTCCAAATGAAACGTGCAGACACAAATATTTAAAGGGAAGGTATAGGCACTCAGACTGCTTCATCTCATTGAAGTGGTCTGGGTGCAATGTCCCAGTCCCACTTAGTCCTGCAATGTAGTACATAGCAGTTTTTGAGAAACTGCAGTGTTTACATTGCAGTACTAAGATGGCCTCTAGTCGCTGTCTAGTGTGCTCTTTGTCATGCTCTTGCAGCACAGCTCCCTCTTGCTCTGTTTAGTTATGCCGGTGCCAGAATGACGTGATATCCCTGCATCATTGCAGTGCTTGAAGATCATGAAGATTACAGCATCTTCTCCATCTCCATTCTATTGGTTGTAGAGACTGCCTTTATACATTTCTTAACTGTGATGCCAGTTTCATTCATGAGGGGAAAAAAAAAAATATATATTGGGTTATGCAACAAGGTTGTACAGCAGCACTCTGATAAAGTCTCCATTTCTGTCAAGCATTTCATGACAGAAATTCTAGGAATTAACAACAAGCACAGTAACTCAGTAAAGGTGCATACACTAAAAGAGCCACAACATTAAAGCCACCTACTTAATATTGTGTAGGCCCCCCTCATCCTGCCAAAACAGCTTTGATGTGGGTAAGCTTGGACTCAAAAAGACCTCTGAATATGTCCTGTGGTATCTGGCACTAAGACATTAGCAGCAGATCTTTAAGTTCTGCAGGTTTGCGAGGTGGGGCCTCCATGGATCAGATTTGTTGTTCTAGAACATCCCACAGATGCTAAATTGGATTGAGATCTGGGTAATTTGAACCCCAAAAAAACACCTTGAACTCTTAATTCCTCTCACCATTCCTGAAATTTTTTTGCAATGTGGCAGGGTGCATTAACCTTCTGAAAGAGGCCGCTGCCATCAGACATGCACCCATTGCCTTAAATAGGTGTATGCGGTCTGCAACAATCTATAGGTATTTGGTACTTGTCAAAGTAACAGCCATATCAAAGACCCATCCATCCTGGCCCATGTCAAAGTCACTCCGTGCTTTTTTCTTGCCAATTTTCCTGTTTCCACCACATTCAATTGTAGATTTTGCTAACATAGTAAACCTATAATTTTATTTTTAGTAATGACAGGAGGCGAATATTTTGCATAACTATCTTTATTGTAAACTTAAAGCGGCACTGTCATGCCGAATCCTGTTTTTTTTTGTTTGTTTTTTTTTAACCCTCCTCCGGCCTCCACTACATCTAACTAACACCCTAGTCACCCCGAAATGCCCCTAAGCCCCCCACATTACCTATTTTTTAATCTTTATTTTCTGCCCCGATCTTGATTCAGGGCGCAACCATCTTTGTGTGGGTAGATGAAGTCCCTGTGGGACACGTCATCTGCCCACACTAGATAGCACTGAGATTCCCGCACATGCCCAGTTAAACACCTGGACATGCGAACGGGAATTTCATCTATTCATTCATTCATCAGACAGACGAATGAGTGAATAGAAAGATCAGCCGTACAAACAAACACTATGTATCAGTGTATGTTTGTTCGTGCAGGTTATTACAAGGAGGGAGCTACCGGCACTCAGCTCCCTCCTTGTAATATGTAAAGATAGAAGTGGTAGGGAGCATTGACCCCCAGGTCCCCCCTCACTCTATGGGGGTCAATATGACCCCAATAATAGCACAAGGGAGATTAAAATCCCCCCAATGCCCCTACTCGCTATAGCGCGAGTAGGGGCATGTCCACTAAACCGTGAGCAGCCTGTGGCTGCTCACTGTAAAAAAATCAAAACCCCAAAAAAAACTATTGTCCCCCACCACTAAACGACGGGTGGGGGCCCTAAAGTAAAAAAAGGGGGGAGACCTATTGTTGCCCTCACCCCTGCGCGGCGGGTGGGGGCCATATTGATAATGAGGGGGGGGACCTACTGTCCCCCCTGAAGAAAAAGAAAAAACCAGAGCGCCAAAAAATAATACATCTTCACCCATGGAGGGCTCCTCACAGACTGAGCTCCGCAGGGCGGGGGAAGGCTTATAAAGCCTTGCCCCGCCCTGCAATTAGGCTAAGAACACTCTGATTGGTGGGTTTAAGCCAATCAGAGTGCTCTGTCATTTTACACAGCGTGGGAAAATTCAAAAGAACTTTCCCACGCTGTGTAAAATGACACAGAGCACTGTGATTGGATGGATTTCTGTTTCGTCTGTTTTATTGGTGTTTTTTTGTTTTTTTTTTTTGCTCGGGATTTTTTTTTTTTTTTTTTTGTTCAACGGTTATGATGGTTTTTTTTATTTGGCCTTTTTTGGGCCTGAAAAATGAAGATTTGAGAAAAAAGAAGACGTCGAATGGTAAGTTTAATTTTATTTTACAGTTTAGTTATTTTATTCCCCCCCCTCACTATCTTTTTAGGGTGAGGGGGCTAGGTAGGGACTTTTTATTTGAGTGGGGGGAGGGGGGTGGTGGGTGACTAGGGGCTTGGGGACCCCTAGCCACCTTGGGAATTGACTTAGGGCCGCCACCCAGGGTGGGGGGAGGGGGACAGTAGGTTTCCCCATTATCTTTATGGCCCCCATCCTCCGCCCAAAAGATTGAAGAGTATTGTTGAGCCACTCCAAACAGCCAGAAGACTGATGGTTCTCACTGAAAAGAACAGAAAACCAGTGAAAGACAAGCATAATGGCGACTTGCCAACGTAAGCACATACATTGAATATGTATATATCTATAATGATTGTAACAATAAAACAAAATTACACATTATTTACTATATAACTAACCCACTCGTAGAATATAACCCAGAATGTCAAACGAAAAGACACAACCCACATACAAGCGGCAGAGGCAAGAAGGGTGGGAATAGGATGGGAAAATATTTGCCTCCTGCCATTACTAAAATTAAGATTATAGGTACACTACGTTAGCATAATCTACAATTTTAACACATGGCAGGAGGCTTCATATTTAGCATTTTTAACGTTAAGGGAGTAAAGTAAAAGAAGCATGAGAAGTTGTTCTAAAGTAAAAGACACGAAAAGTTTCTTCCCGCGACCAATCGGCGCAACGCTTAATAATGTCAGCCAACGAGGCGCCCGACAAGGCTCACAACGCCGCTGTGCCCCTGATCAAATGTGCCTCTAAGCCCGAATTTATGCCAGCTACTAAGAAAAGTCATCTCGCAAGGGTCGCAGAAGAGACCGACTTATGTGGGTGCACATATGAAATAAGGAGTTGTCCAGACTGAGCCCGGCGCAGAGAAGAGGTAACATCTTAAAGGGAAACTCCACTGCAGATCCCTTCTCCCTCCCACCTCCCACTCCCCGGTTGCTGAAGGAGTGAAAACCCCTTCAGTAACTTACCAGAGGCAGCGACGATGTCCCACGTCGCTGCTTCTTCCTCCGCCGCCACTCCTCCTCTGCGTTGCATCGGCCGGTGGGCAAGACTGATCCCGCCCACCTGCTGGGGAGACCTAATGCGCATGCGCGGCAATGCTGCGCATGCACATTAGCGCTCCCCATAGGAAAGCATTGAAAATGCATTTCAATGCTTTCCTATGGGGAAATGAGCGACGCTGGAGGTCCTCACATAGCATGAGGACATCCAGCGACGCTCTAGCACAGGTTTCCTGTGTTATGATCCAGGAAGTGCCCTCTAGTGGCTGTCTAGTAGACAGCCACTAGAGGTGGAGTTAACCCTGCAACCCTTTATTAAAAACTGCAATAATTACACTTGCACGGTTAAGAGTAGTGGGAGTTGGCACCCAGACCACTCCAATGGGCAGAAGTGGTCTGGGTGCCTGGAGTGTCCCGTTAACCTCGGGTCAATATTGCCGAGAGTTGGAGAAGAGACAACAGGTTATCAGGCCAATCCCTCATGAAACGAAGGACCATGTCCCAGAGCCGATACTATTTCGGAGCGGTTGGACGTGATAATCGGATACCACGAAACAGTCAACAGACGAGTGGGTTCTGCCTTACAGGAAAACTGAGAACTAGGACATGTGCGTCAGAAATGGTAAACATTAATGGAATATGAACTACCTGAGGCGAATAGTTGCGTCAGGAAATTCAGTATGACTGGTAGAGGTGCCAGCTATCCCACTTATTCCAGGCAGCAAGGTAACTGTGTCTAGTGCCGGGAGCCCATGAGTCCCACAATAGGTCTTTAGTGACCTGCGATAGGTTGTTGACATTCCAAGATCCCCTGAAATCATCCACCCTTTTTCTGCTCCTTTGCGGGGATCCTGCCCTGACCTAGATATGACAAGATGGCGATCAAATTCCGGGGTGATCGCCATTTTGCCCGGTAGGGAAGGTCGAGGGCATTCCGTCCGGAGTCTGCCTCTCACCTCCCTGTCAATGGTCCTGCCGATCTAGAAGAGGAGGAACCTGTACAGATGAGAAAGCCGGGACCACTCGGACGATCTCAAGTTTTGTATGGTCCTTGGATTAAACATTTTCTTGTGCAGCCTGTGAGGGAAGGGGCCTCCTATATACGATTCCGTAACATATTTTGACTCTGTGGTCGGAAGGACCAACCATTCATCCCCACCGCCAGATGCAGAGTCTTTGGCCCGCCATTCGTCCAAGATGTCTAGGCCAGCAGCACGGAAGTCATTGTCCTCCTCCAAGGATATCACAGGGGGTGGTGGTTCTCACACCGCTAATCATTTAGGGCGTTTAGCCATAGTAGTACTCTTGGCCTTAGTGGGCAAGGTTGTAACTCCTTTCCTGTGGTGTTTGACACGGTCGGTGTATCAGCGTTGGAGACAAATGAGCCTACCGTGTCATCATCACACGGAGGCGGCATACCTACGGCTTGTGAAGAGACCTCAGGAGGAGGTTGCGTGAGGAATTTTGGAGAGTGCCTTCTCCATTGGTTAGGTTGGTGAGTCACTCATGTCAGAGTGTAGAGTCCTTCTCACAGCTGTACCAGACAGTCTGCACAAACAGGCACCATAAAAGTTCAATTGTATACACTGTATACCACCCTCTTTAGGTAAGACAATGGCATAAAGTACATAAATGAAGTAAGCGCCTCCATCTGAAATCCTTGATACAGTAGATAGTGTAAATCACTGATAGGTGCCTTTTATTGAATTATTATTAGGACTCACCACTCACAGCCAGTTGAAACAAGCGGCTAATATATGCAAGGGATTGGTACCCTTAATATAGGGAGATGCTGGTAGCCTCCATTAGTTGAGGGGGCTCACCCCTATAGAATATCATATGGCACATGGCCAGAATAGGATATATGGGGGCTCTTGTGGATTAGAAGACCAGAAATTAGTAGCCAGTCTATGTTATCTGGCCTGACAGGGAGTTCCCTGGTCAGTACAATCGGGGTCACCCGGTGTAAGATCAATGTCACCAACCACTGAGACACGATAAGTAGGTGTTGTATAAGGTGTGCAGGTTCACCCGTCACTGCCAGTCGTTATGAGCAGCCTGTATGTCTGGGGCTGAAACCCTGAATTGGGGGGAAAGCGCTGAAAACCTCCAGAGGCAACAGGGTAGCCAGATGCGCCCAGTAAGACTGGGTAGGTACCAAGGTATGTCGGATCACCGTCCGTTGTGACCATGTGTAGGCAATCCCTCAGAGAGAGTTAATGGTACCTATAATAGGGGTGTAGCCCTACGTGGTTCCATTTTGTGTGGTGTATGGGGACAAGGGGCTTGTCCCAATAGTACTGTAGGGGTACACCCCTTTGTTCAGTAGTTCAGATTTCAGATTGCACAATCAGTCAAGGCACATTAGATATATTTTAATCCTCACAACTGTAATTGCAGTGAATACAATCAAAGATATTTGTAAAATCCTAAATTGTCGAAGCACCTGGTGAGTAGGTGAAATCCTACAGGGTCCTGTGAGCATGAAGTTGAATTCCGTTTAGTCAGAGGTCCTAGACAGTCCGTATCTAGCTCTGTAAAACCGCAAGATGGCGGCAAAAAAATACCTACCCCCTAATCCTGACCCAGTCTGCAAATGCGGTAGAAAAATGTGCTGCAACCGCAGCAAAATCGCCTGTCGCTGCCCGAGAGGGAGCTAGGCCTAAACCAAAAGGCAGCTCCTATTACAGGATGAATAACAGAAATGAGCACAAATGTAAAATAGGGTATTAAATAAAAATAACGAGCCAGATACTCAATAGGAGGGTGGTACAGCTAGAGAAAGTAAAAATAAGTAGGATAAAGCAGAATAGAGTCACAATAAAGATCAAACCGTATAAACATACAGAGAGAGCAAATACTCTGACCTGTTGCAGAAGAAGCAGCAAAGAAAGAGGAAGAGGCAGGATCACACTGCCTGTTACATACTTGTGTCTTTTGTTCTGATTTATTTAAACGTTATGATTGATATTTGCTGCTGAAGTTTACAGTAAAGAAAGTTTATGCAAAATATGAAGCCTCCTGTCATGTGGTAAAATTCATGAAAGCATTGTAACAATCCATGTTCTTTGCCTCACATGTGAGTGGTTTTAATGTTGTGGCTAATCGGTGTATGGGTATCCTCTGTGCAATGTATCTAATCTATAAAGTATCCCATTTGAACAGAAACTGCTTGAGGATAAATAACAAAAACACTTTTATTTTACATTGGGTGTTTGGTGTTTTTGTGGTAAGTACAACTAACCAATAACCATTTACATTTGGGTTCAGATTTTTTATTTTAATTTTATTTTTTTGTGGAAAACTAACGTTTGAATGATCGTTTGCTGATATCTATTGCATTTTTCTAGGTTCTGTTGGAGCCACTAACATGAATGAGCATAGCTCTCGATCTCATGCTATCTTCACAATTACTATAGAATGCAGTGAAAAGGGTGCTGATGGAAACATTCATGTCCGCATGGGAAAGCTTCATCTTGTAGATCTTGCAGTAAGTATTTCTTTCTCTCTCGTTCAACTACATGTACTCGTCCTCTTTGGGGGACCTTAGAAAATTTTCCATATTCCGTTGTCTTTACCTAGGATTTTTAGAAATGTAGATGTATGTGAACCTATCATAGAGTTAAGCAGCTGGAAAGGTAAAATTAGTGTGTGTGTGTATATGTGTGTGTGTATATGTGTATATATATATATATATATTACACAAGATCCAGCGCACTCACCTATCCACTAAACAGCAACTTCAATGTTGAAAGATTTTATTAGTTTTTTAAAAACTCCTAATCTAGGCAAAAATAATGGGGGTTTAGTTACATTATATGATCATACATTGCATAAGCCTGTCACAACGTCAACGTACCCCATCTTTGGCAGGTCCTACACTAACAGCCTAATGTCTGCTCTTATGAGATTAACCCACTTACTTGAGGGAAAAAATTTTTTCCATCTGGGGCTCTCTGCAGTACAAGGCTAAATAGGGCCCTGGGATGAGGTACCTGTGACAGGGAGGGGTGCAAAACCAAGGAGTTGGCTAGACTCCCTAGCAGAAGGCTGACCTCATCAGAAGTGGTGGCCTGATCCAGTCACAATGCTTCCCCATAGGATTGGCTGAGACTGACAAAGAGGCAGATCAGGGGCAGAGCCAGCATGATTCAAACACCGCCCTGGCCAATCAGTATCTCCTCATAGCGATGAATTGAATCAAGGAATCTCTGAGGAAAGTTCAGTGTCTGCATGCAGAGGGAGGAGATACTGAATGTTTGGATGCATTTTAGGCAGCCCATGACCCAGGAAGGATCTCTAACAGCCATCTGAGGAGTGGTCAGTGAAGTTATCACTAGGCTGTAATGTAAACACTGCATTTTCTCTGAAAAGACAATGTTTACATCAAAAAGCCTCAAGGTAATGATTCTACACACCAGAACATATTCAATAAGCTGTAGTTGTTCTGGTGGCTATAGTGTCCCTTTTAAAGAAATACTCTAAGCAATAAATCATCTTAAGCCCAATAAAACAGTTTTAATATAGAGATCATCACCCCTGCAGTGTCACTGCTTAATTCTCTACCATTTTGGAGTTATATCACTTTGTTTTTCTTTATGCAGTTTTAGCCAAACCTCCCTTGTCTGTGACCCACACAGTTTACATAAAAAAAAAAAGGTTTCATTTTCAATCAGTACAGTACAGTACAGAAAGCAGGCTATTAACAGAGTAGGAGATAAGAAATTCTAAATTTAAACAGACTGCTCAATAAAGGATGCTGCAGAATTATATTTCTCTGTACATGAAATGTGTAGGGAGTGTGTTGGTCACATGCAGAAAGGTGTGCCTAGGGCTCCATAGAAAGTTATTAAACTCCTAAATGGCAGTGAACCGAGCAGTGAGACTGCAGGGGCATGGTCTATGCCCCCAAATCGCTCCATTAATCTAAATTTGTTTTGGTGCTAATAGTATTCCTTTAATTGGCTTTGACAAATGGAAATTCAAAAATCTGCATGCTCCAAAACTTATCAGAATTCAAAGCCATCCAGTGAAAAGGGCTTGTCTTGTATGAATGTTAGTGATATTAAATGATTGTCTGCCAGAGCATAGTATGAAGTAGTATTGAGGACTTTGGTTAGCTGTGGGGGACATTTTACCTTAATTCACTCATCCTTAACTAATGTTCTTTGTTTTTCAGGGCTCAGAGAGGCAAGGAAAGACTGGGGCAACTGGGCAAAGATTAAAAGAGGCCACAAAAATTAATCTATCCTTATCTACACTAGGAAATGTTATCTCTGCTTTGGTTGATGGAAAAAGCACTCATGTACCTTATAGAAATTCAAAACTTACTAGACTGCTACAGGATTCATTGGGCGGAAACTCAAAAACTATGATGGTAGGCGTTATACTGTGGGTTTTTTAAATCTACTAATCTACTACAATTGTTTCTTTCTGTGTGTATTATATATTCATCTATTTGACACACTAAATATAACCGTCGTGGAAACCTGTCCTAGAGTATTAAGCAAGTGAATATCTTAATTTTCCTTGTCTACTTTATTTTGCTGATATTTTAGGACTGGAACCCCCGGGGCTACTTGACCCCCCATAGGGAAAGCATTGGATTGGCTAAAATTGTTGCGAGGGAGGTGCCAAACACCATTTTGGTCAATCAGCACCTCCTCATAGAGATGCGTTTAAGCAATACATCTCTATGAGGAATATTCAGCGTCCCCATCCACAGCGTGGAGACGCTGAACAGCACTGCTCCAGGATTCACCTCCAGAGGCCATCTGAGGAGGTGTCCCTTGGGGACTCTGAAAAGGCACTGTTTGCATGAAAAAGCCTGCATATAATGATTATACTCACCAGAACAACTACATAAAGCTGTAGTTGTTCTGGTGACTTAGTGTCCCTTTAATGTTTGTTGCAGTCAAACTTATCTTTGACGTATGTGACATCCATGTCATGTCAAAGTTTGTTAGGAAGTATTACAGAGCAAATACTCTCAATTTGGATTAGTTTACAATTACCCTGTATAATAAAGGCCTAATTGGGAGGGATTATTATTTTAAATTAAAGTATACTGTTCGTCCTCTCTTATATGAATATTGATGTTTATCTTTAGTGCGCAAATATCGGGCCAGCAGATTACAACTATGATGAGACAATCAGCACTTTAAGATATGCAAATAGAGCGAAAAACATCAAAAATAAAGCTAGAATCAATGAGGATCCCAAAGATGCTCTTCTACGCCAGTTTCAGAAAGAAATTGAGGATCTTAAAAAGAAACTTGAGGAAGGTAATGTTGGCGATGGATAGTTTTGTTTTTTTTTTTTGTTTTTTGTTTACAAGATTTAACCGAAAATATGTATTAATCAAAATGTAGAATTGAAGAAATATGTGCTGGTGAGAATTTAAAGTATATTTGTAAAGCAATCTCTTTAATCATCTTTAGGAGAAGAAATATCAGGCTCTGAAGATAGTGGTTCAGATGAAGATGATGATGAAGATGGGGAAATTGGAGAAGATGGAGAAAAGAAAAAGAAAAGAAGAGGTAAAAGATATTAAAATAGTTATAAACCGTTTGTCCTGTACCTTTTAAAAGTATTTTATCTGTTGCATTAACTAGTTTTCCTGGCTCTATAGGGTCTTTATGTCCCCCACCACCCTCAGGGTCCCACTTCTGCTGGGCTGAAGGGGTTAAACACTTACCTTTCTCCACCACCGGGCTCCCTCTGCTCTGGGGAACTCTCCTCTCTCAGCCGACATCAGCGCCAAATGCGCATGCGCGGCAAGAGCAATGCTTTCCTATGGACGTCCAGCATCTTCTCACTGTGATTTTCACAATGGGAAGCGCCTCTAGTGGCAGTCAGTGAGACAGCCACTAGAGGCTGGATTAACCCTATTGTAAACATGGCAGTTTCTCTGAAACTGCTATGTTTGCAGCTGCAGGGTTAATACTAGATGGACCTGGAACCCAGACCACTTCATTGAGCTGAAGTGGTCTGGGTGCCTATAGTGGTCCTTTAATAGTTGCCTGTCCTTGAATTTGTAACTTACACAGAACAAACCATCTGAGATTTTAAAATGCCACTCTGAGCAAAGAATCATCTTCTATGGAATTGATGGGTAGTTTGTGTGTTGATGTAGGAGGTTGTTATTATTATTATTTTTTTTTTACTTCTCTCCATCTCTCACATCTCTTCTTTTGCTGTTAAAAATAAAACAAATCACCTTTTGTTTGCATAGCACTTTCTTTGTCACTTTTTACAAAATCACTTCCTGCTTTGCTTCTATTCTTGAGTACATACTGAGCTCAGCCAATCTGAGATCGGTGACAGAGCTGAACTGCTGGAAGACAGGCAGACTAAAAAAAATGCGAGAGGGGAGACGGGGTTAGGTTTAGCAACTATCTGTTTATATTTTCCTCTGCCTTGGTGGGGGGGGGGGGATTTTGACCTGTGTGTTCCTTTAAACAAATACATTGTTTGACCCCAAATTCGTCTTGGCTAGTGACATCCATGTTTTAAACCAAACGAAGACTGTCATACAGTATTAAACCTAATTGAAGTGTGTAGTGTTTTTCTCAAATTAGACTGTTCAAACCAACTGCTGTCCCACTGTCCTTCATGCAGCCAACTGAGGCGGGTTGCCAAGTGTCCAGTATATGACCTGCTGGTGGTGTGTTTTATTCTTTTAAAAAAATGTTATTACCCTTTTTGCCCCTGTGCAAGGTCGAGCAGTGTCCTCATAAAGTCCTGAGAGGCTCTTGCTTCTCATAGGACTTTCAATTAAGGATCTAATGCACAGCGACACTCCTTTACGTACTGTGTAGGCTCCTCAGAGGAGAGTCTTGTGAGAAGGAAGAGCCCAGCCTGTCTGGACATCACTTAACAATGCATCAATTAATATGTAGGACAGGTGGTGATGATAAAGATTTGTGGAGGTAGTTTGCATGTGTCCTACTGTTCTTTCCACCTCTTTATGTACAAATGCGTGTATCTGTGAATGAAAGGGGGCTTTAAAGCCCCATGCTTAATGTTAGTAAATTTAGTGTAGGATTATTATGGCAAAAGGCTAAATAGTGGGTGCAGGATTGGGGTTACTGCTGCATTTATGTGTGTGTGTCCTTGTTCTAGTTTCTGGGCATCTGTTAGTACAGATCTGCAGCCCACATGTGAGAAGACGATCTGGCCAGTTGCCCCAATAAAGTTGAGTTTAAAACCCCTGGTTTAAACTGTTGATAAGCAAGTCAATTTTAAAATACATTTGGTATTTGTATACAAGTTGGTTTTCAAGGGAGAGTAAAGTAAAAGAACTATATTAAAAATATTTGCTTAATCTGATAAGTCTCCTATGAGTACATTTTAAAAATTGGATGAATAATTGATTGCAAAATAGCTAAGATTAGAGTTATCATGTATATGCTTTAGAAGATCTTAGCAGTTTATATTTCAATCTGTTACCACAATGAAGTTTGTTGCTGATGCAGCTTGAGATATTGGTAAGAAAAGGGCTGCTTAAAATAGTTTTTGGTTCAGATATGTATGTATGTAATTATTATTGCGTTTATTTTGTTAGTCACTTACCAAGGGACTTTGCTCTACTTAATACAATAGAAAGACTATGTCTGGAAGGCTTTCCCCTGTAAGCAATATTGTATTTCAATTTGAATTCAAAATGCCAACTTTTTTTACTTGACAACAACTTGATCGAAAACATCACTATCTTAATTGGCTGTCAACCTATTTATTTCAGTTGCTCATCAGTTTACATAAAAGCAATATTCCCAACATGTGTGCCTTTTCATGATCTATGTTTTCCATGCTGTTTTCTGGGCCATCTCTTTGTCCAGGTAGTAGCAGCAGCAGTAGCAGCTCAGACTCCACAGTGATAGAAAGACCAGTGGATAAGTACCTGCCTAGTGAGTGGCAGCTCCAGCTCCTAAGCTGTATGAGAAAGCTATGGCTTACTATGTCCTTTGCTCCCCGTTTAGTTGCTGCACTGCTATCTGTTATCAAAGCTGTTTGGATATCCCAATGCATGCCTTTGTTTCACATTCCAGTATGGTTTGATAGCTTTACTGTTGAAGATGAGCAGCGGTGTTTGGTTCATGAAAAGTTTTTACTAGCACTTTTATCAACTCGAGACCCTACTTAACCCAGTGGTTTGCTGTTAGGAACCTGTTTAACTATTGGATAAAGGAAGCTATCTCTAAAATACTGTATAGATTGAAGTATGTTTGAAATTACACTGATGTTTCTTTCAGTGAACATTGGAACAATATAACCACTTCTCTAGCACAGAAAGGTTTGCTGGAAAAAAAATGCTTCCTAAATTCACATACTTTTATCTACCGCTAGAAGTATTGCAATATCAGAATTTACATATTTACACTGTAGTTTATATAGTGTCTGAATGTTTTTTTTTTTTTTATTTTCTTACATAGTTGCACGTGCACTTAGTGATTTAGAGTAGAGGCAAGTACAACCAAATGGTTACTCCAAGCAGCATGACTACTTAGGAGACTTGAAGTAGTCATGGTTCTCTGTGAAACTCTCACATACTGAGTGTAACCACTTGGTTGCTGGACATGTAACTCCACCTCTTACCGCGTTCTAGAAGTGTCATTAGCCAGCCTGGAACAAGAGCTGGCTAATGTCAGTTCTGTGCAATGAAAGCAGTCAGCTGATTCTCTCAGCCAATTAATGGCGACTGGTTCAACTTGCAGAAGAGCTGCACAAGCCGGAAATATGTCGCCAGACATGAAAGGAGTCTCACAGCTTGGTGGTCACCGAGGTAAGATGACAAACCAACACTAAATGGTTTGCCCCATTACTGCAGGAGACAGATCATAGTATTTCAGGCATCGTAATCACAGCGGGCTGTAGTGGTTATTATTCTTGGAGTAACAGTTATGCTGATTTTATAATAATCAAAATATATGAAACAAGATCTCCATACTCTAGCAGTTGCAGGGGAATGCAAGACATGTAGATATATCTAGGCAAAGATGCTGATTTATTATGAAGGTGATGTAAAGGAGGAAGATGTAGAACTATGCCACAACATTTGTCTAATGGGTAAGTTGTGTGCCAGAAGGCCAGACTTTCATAGCTCTTTTTGGGATCCAATCCCTGACTCCAAAGAGGCAAAGTTCCCTGCTATTGCTATTTGTTGAACTTGTGTATGACCCTCTGTAAATATCTGGAATGATGCAAGCATGTTCTGTATGCATATTGGCTACCTCTTGCTTTAATTCAGTACTACAACATGAGAGAGTAGATTTAAGTATTAGCCTTTTGGCAATAGATAGATATAATATATTCAATGATTTTAACTCCCCTTTTAATAAATGTAATGTGATCTATGAAAATTTCTCAGACTTGTCAAGAAAGCCATGTGCATGTTTTTGTCTTGTAAATGTTTTCCAGAATTAGACCAGCACACGATTTGTGATATGTTTGGAACACTCTTTCTGCAAACAATTAATTGCTGAACTCTTAACAGATCTGTTATTAATACTGCATGTATACCTGAGCACTCTTGCTTTGCCCCTATCACTCACCTCATCTAGTATTTTTGTCTAATGACTAACTACTTTTTAAATAAGCACTTTCTACTTAAAATTTTGCTGCAATATATATGCAATGCACACAATGCAAATTGTGATTATATTTATATTCATGTAATCCTCTAGTTAGAAATAAACATTTAAAAATATATATATACATTTTGCATAATGCCGTGGGAGTATTTTTTTGGCTTTAACAATTAATTGGCCAACCAAATGTTTTAAATTTCGTAAATCACTGTAATGTTAATTTTATGTTAATCCATCATTATGCATTTAATTTTTGGGGCTCTCGAGGCCCCAATAACCTTGAAGAGAGCAAATTACTTAATTTTATGCAGCAATATTTATGACCACTTATACTGCTATGTAGCAAGATTAGACAACCTTTGGATCACTATTTGAGAAGATTTTTTTTTTAATCAAAGGATGTCTAATCCTGGCTATTGTGAAGTCTAAAAACCTCACATTTGTGTTGCCACATGCTATGCCTACAACATTGGCCACATGTTATTGCATACATATGTTGATACAACATGAAATAACAGGAAGTGATATAATGTTGTCTTTCTCCTCTCTTCATGTCAATGCTGCCAACCTACAAATTATTTGCTTCATCCACTTTATGCAAGAACAAGCAGGTTGGTGTTAATAGGTTTTGACCTCAACCTATCAAATTTTAAAGATTGCCTTTTGTGATCTTTAAAGAGTGAACTTTTAGTTCTTGAGTAATGTAAATGCACTCTTGAACAATAATGTTTACAATAATAATTCCTAATAGTTTTAACTGGAAAAAAAAAAACACTTTGAATTTATTGTAAATGTAAGGTACCAGTGGAAAAGTACACTCCCTAAAACAGTACAATTTATATTTAAAATAAGCTACTAATATTGTTCTCTTCGTGTTGATGTGACAGTAACATGCATATTTCTGCTTGCTATTTATTCCGCTTTTAATGTTTATAAAGGAGATTTGTTATATAAAGTAAAACATGCTTTTTTAATGCACTCTAGGGTTTCTAATAACTTTGTATATCCTGTTTGATACTAATAGGGGTTCACAAATAATGTTTTCCTAAAAATCTGGATTGGTTCTAATCAGTCTTGCGATGTAATCACTGATATATATGCCGTGCTGTCACAGGCAAGAAGAAGGTCTCCCATGATAAAATGGTTGAGATGCAAGCGAGAATTGATGAGGAAAGGAGGGCACTTGAAACAAAACTTGACATGGAAGAAGAAGAACGGAACAAAGCAAGAGCTGAGCTGGAGAGGAGGGAGAAAGATTTACTAAAGGCACAGTAAGTAACTTCACTAGTTCTGTTAAGATGACCTACTGCTTCCACAGTGTAATGAACTTGTTGGCCAGAAATGGGAGTCATTGACAAGCACCTGATTCAGTAATTCTGAATGAGATGAAAATGGTCAACCCAATGGATAACATGTTTTTTTTTTTTTTTTTTCTTCTTCTAATTGTTAGTTCATGTTTAATGGATTGCCATGCTGTCTGAATACACATATATTTCAGCTATAAATAAATGCTGTCTCTTTATTTGTGCAAGTGGTTAAAAAGCTGAAATAGAACCTAGTTAGCTTCATTTTCTTAAAGTGGAACTGTCACTTAGTTGTCACTGTTACACCATGGAAATAAAACCACTTAATATAACTAGAATTGTCTGTCTTTTTGGTATCTTCAATACATATATTTTGCTATCAAATTGTTATGTAGATTATATTCCTTATTCTGTTGCATGCTGTGAAAGTATAAATCTAAAAATGTTGATTTTTAATCAAGTGGGTTTATTAATTGATTAAACATTCAAGCAGGGAAGATAGGAGACAGTCATTCTGAGTAGGTTTGGCTTATAACAGATATTTTTATACAAACTGGGCTGGATTTGTAATGGCTTACACTCCTTACTGAATAGAAATTTCCTAATTTCAATTAAGGGCTTACTTCAGTAAGTTAATAAGCCCTTACTCTGCCAAGAGAATCCAGCCCAATAAATATATATGAGAAATATAAGATAAGCCTTAAGGTCCTATCTTAAAATGTAGAGTACATAACAAAGGAGAAGTCAGGAAGTTAGATAATGTACTTGTTCGTGGTTCCGAGTAGGTGTTAAACTGTTTTAAACAGTTTAACATTGGATGAGGCTACCTGTCTCTGCTGCTCAGGCTAGTGCTCTTAAATCACCCTGAGCATCGGTGGAAGGCATTGATTGACCGAGAGCACCTTATCCATACCTCTAGTTGTTGAGGACCTTTGCTCAGCATTAAACCTGAACTGTGAGATGGCACCATAACTATTCATTAAGGTGAAGTGGATATGGTACCTCGACTGTCTATTTAGAAATTGGAATGCTTTTAGCATGTAGTGTACCTTTTAATAGCATACTTAATTCCATATCGTTATTTTAATGTTCTACAGGCAAGAGCATCAATCACTCCTTGAAAAGCTGTCTGCTTTGGAAAAGAAAGTTATTGTTGGAGGAGTGGATTTGCTTGCCAAAGCAGAGGAACAAGAGAAGCTTTTAGAAGAATCTAATTTGGAGCTTGAAGAGCGTAGAAAGCGAGCTGAAAAACTTCGGAGAGAGCTAGAGGAAAAAGAGGTAATTACTTTTAAAGGACACTCCTGGCATAAACACAACATTGTTTTGCATGCTGAAAACATCATATATTTTTTGCATAAAAAAAACCAAATGTTTTGCATGATTCTGCAGTATAAGCCTTCCTCTGTAACCCTGCCCCCTCGAACCAGAAAAATACTTCTTTATCAAATGCACGCGCAAGGCACAGCCACTGATTGTACTGAATGATCTGAACTACAAAGCAACCTGCATTAGAAGGAAGGATACCAAGGGAGACTTCTAGAAAGGATATCACTACCATTATAATTTATCTGACTGCAGCATGGTTGTAAATCAAAAGCAGATCGTTCAGTGCTGTTGGGGCTGAGAAATTGTGCACACATTTCATAAGGGATTCTTTCTGGAATGAAGGGGCGTGGCTAAGGAGGCAGACATATGGTGCGGCTTTCTTCAAAGATTTGAACGTGAAAAAATACAGCATATTAATGACACCAAAATCTATCAAATGCATTAAAGTTGTATTTGTGCTCAGAGTATCCCTTTAAGTAACTCATTTGTGTGTGAGAACATGGATTGACAACATACTACTTACCATTAAAAAGTTCTAACAAATGAAAAAAACTAAACACAATACACTATCTACATTTAAAAAACCCCAAAACAAAGTATGTACTCATTGAAACACAAAATTCCTGTTTGTGTAGATCTAAGGAAGTAATCTAAAGCATCCATGCCCAATGGCCATGTAGGGGTGGAGTGGGTGGTTTACTAGCACACTTAAATATATGCACAGTAGACTCCTGGCTATAAAGTTAACCCCTAATTGCACTTAATGCCTATTAAATAGAGAAACAAAGACAGCCAAACCTAGGCCAAATAATAAGAAGAAAAAAGTGGCTGAAATACAACTAATAAATGAAAATGCTTCCAGAGTAATATATGATGACCGCAAGTGTTGTACTTATAAGAATACTTCGGGTCACACAACATTGGTATACATAGATAATGGAGTTTAACCTTTGGAGTTCTCACTATAAAAAACATTTTTCCAAAGGGCATAAACTTTACACAAAAATTTAACACAGTGGCACACCACTATATAAATCCAACAATAAAACCTATTCCAACATGTCATTAAAGACCAGATAAATATGCAAACATAAATACACAATTACAAGATCAACCGACTGGCAGTCCAATAGTATACAATCCAATTGTATACAGAATTAGTAGGGTGAAAATGCATACATACAATGAATTGCATACCAGCAGGCCTTAGATTAAAAAAAATAAAAATAAAAAAAGGAGGGGAACAAAACAGAGGTCATAACACAGAATCAATTATTTTGTGTTTTTGGTATCTGTTTAACCTGCCCAAGCATTGGCAGAGATCATTGAGTGATAGAGCTGCACACTGGAAACCAGTGCTGTGATGGACAACAAGAAAGTAAAATAACTTTTCAAATTGTTGGTCCAGTCAACTAAACTGTGACTTGGGCATTATAGCGTTAGGAATACAAATGTGTATTCCCAACGCTATAGTGTTCCTTTTAAGTGTGTTACTGCCCTTTCTACCCGATGAGGCCATTGTGCATATAATGGTTCAGATAGAACTTCCTTAGACAAAGGAAACCTACACTAACAGGATTTATTCCTTTTAATGTGCATATATGGTTTTTGTGTTGTGTTGTGTTGTTTTTGTGTTGTGAACTTTAATTCATGGTATTTAAATAAAGGTTGTGTTCTAACTGATTAATGACAAGTTTTTGTACCACTACTTGTTCTCTTTTGATCTAAAATTTTACTTTGGGCATAGACCCCTTCTTATTTAGGTAGCTTCAATGTGTTGTTGTGACTTTGACCTTTCACGTATACAATGTAATATAGTAGTTGGCCTTTGTTCTCCTTTCATAATCTCTACACATAATCTATGTTGTAATGTAATTTGAAGCCATTTGTTGGTTGGGGAAAATAAACGAATATGTCTGCCTATATAGATGAAGTATCCAAAATGATGGCTGCACTCCTCGGTCTTCATTAAAATCCAAGTAACTTTATTAGATATACATTAAAATATAGATCAACGTTTCAGCCCCACACTGGGCTTTCCTAAACCCATATAGATGAATATACATTTTAGCTGTGTTATTCCAGTAATACAGGTGTAAAATAACAATAATTAAAAATAAACTACACTTTAATTGAAATTCTAATGCAGTCTCAATCTATATATCCTGTGAAAGAGCACATTCATTGGGGAAAATATGTTTAAAGAGAAACTTTATTTAGTCCTCTGAGTGCACGTCAGTGGATTTTGTACTTGGCTGGAGTTAAAAAGCACCAAGGCAAGTACACGTTTGTACAGAAATCAGACATTTTACCTGCTTCTGAAATAATGCATGAACTAATATTTTACTGTGTCAAAACTGTTTTAGTATCACTGCTTTAATGCATTATGGATGGATTGAAATGGGTGATCAAGTGCCTTTATTATGTCAAATAATTTTTTTTTTTTTGTTTTTCCAACTTTTATTGTTATGATTAGCAAACTGTTCTTATTTGCCTTTTTACTTACAGCAAGAACGTTTAGATATCGAGGAGAAGTATACAAGTTTACAAGAGGAGGCTCAGGGTAAAACTAAAAAACTAAAGAAAGTGTGGACTATGCTAATGGCTGCTAAGTCTGAGGTTAGTTATGTTTAGCTCTGCTACCTTTTCTTGTTACAGGTTTACTTTGTATTGTATGTCTGTTTTGTAGGTTCAGTGGGAAAATGAATGGTTGTTTTGATAAGGGAAGAGAGCAGGGTGTTTATATTTTTTTATAATTCCTTATTTTTGTTCTGCATGCTGATGACACAAGTTGCACAATATACGCGAAGTAGCAAAAGAAAAGGTAACCAGATACAATACATGTACATAAACAAAAGCACTTTTTTTAAATTTTTTTTTTTTTTTAAAGAAAGGTGTTAAGCAAGATGGAGATAGTGCATTTGTAGGAGTAAGATGTGTCATTTGTACGAGATTAGGTAGGTAATAGGATTCGCTGGCCCATGCTTTGAAGGCATGGCATTTTCGACTAGTTCCCAGCTTTTGCAAGGGTGAGATAGCTATATAGGATACATAAACAAGATCTCTAGGCTGGAAGTGAGTGTTTGTGACATATTGCAGCTTATTAAGGATAGGCGCTAGAGTATTGCAGTGCCCAGTTATGCCTTCGTGGGCTGGGCAATCGATATTGGTGGGGGGTAGCCGGTACCAAGAGGTTTTGGCGATGCGTTTTGTAATTTTAATAATTGGATAGCAATATACATTGTGATACACTCACACTCTCTCTCTATCTATCTATCTATATAATATGTGTGTGTATGTATGTATATGCCTGGAGCCCATGCACCTTTAAACCTTACAAGGCTCTCTGGCTGACAGAACCCAGGCCCTCACAGGAGATATGGCTTAGATGGATGTTACACACGCCTTAGCCATACAAGCATTGAGCAGTTGCAACAAGCCAAGAGTGGTCAGCTGATCCTTTCCTACAATCACTGCTACCATCACTGATTGAGCTAATACACATCAGCCAGATCTGCAAAGAGGGGATCAGCTTTAGACAGATTAGGACTCACATGCAGTGTTAAACCATTTTATAACACTGTAACACTGAACAGAGGGACAGGGCCTAGAGTCTCCTGGCATTATAACCATTTCTGTGAATTGAAGTGGTTATAGTGCATAGTGTCACTTTATGCACTGTAGAATCTAGTACTGTTTGATCATTAGCATTTTGCTCATGAATAAAAACTTAAGGTATAACAGAATTTATTTTGTTTCATCTTATGTTAGATGGCAGATCTTCAACAGGAGCATCAAAGGGAAACTGAAGGTTTGCTGGAAAACATCAGACAACTGAGTCGAGAATTGCGACTTCAGATTAATATAATTGATAACTTCATTCCTCAGGAATATCAGGTATGTATCAGGCATAGCCATTATTAGAACAATTAGATTTTGTATACTTTACTACATAGAAAGTACTACTAGAAAGACATTAACTGCTTTCATTGAGAATAATATCTTGGTTTTTATACTAATTAACTTCTTTAAAATGTACCATATATTCTACAAACTATTTAGTTACATTAAATTCTTCTTTCTGAAAAGCTGCAAACCAAATGTTTCATTGACCCCCACATTCCTCACAACTTATTTTATATTTACGATCATTCATGTTGTAATATATATATATATATATATATATATATATATATATATATATATATATATATATATATATATATATATATATATATATATATATATATATACAGGGAATGCAGAATTATTAGGCAAGTTGTATTTTTGAGGATTAATTTTATTATTGAACAACAACCATGTTCTCAATGAACCCAAAAAACTCATTAATATCAAAGCTGAATATTTTTGGAAGTAGTTTTTAGTTTGTTTTTAGTTATAGCTATGTTAGGGGGATATCTGTGTGTGCAGGTGACTATTACTGTGCATAATTATTAGGCAACTTAACAAAAAACAAATATATACCCATTTCAATTATTTATTATTACCAGTGAAACCAATATAACATCTCAACATTCACAAATATACATTTCTGACATTCAAAAACAAAACAAAAACAAATCAGTGACCAATATAGCCACCTTTCTTTGCAAGGACACTCAAAAGCCTGCCATCCATGGATTCTGTCAGTGTTTTGATCTGTTCACCATCAACATTGCGTGCAGCAGCAACCACAGCCTCCCAGACACTGTTCAGAGAGGTGTACTGTTTTCCCTCCTTGTAAATCTCACATTTGATGATGGACCACAGGTTCTCAATGGGGTTCAGATCAGGTGAACAAGGAGGCCATGTCATTAGATTTTCTTCTTTTATACCCTTTCTTGCCAGCCACGCTGTGGAGTACTTGGACGCGTGTGATGGAGCATTGTCCTGCATGAAAATCATGTTTTTCTTGAAGGATGCAGACTTCTTCCTGTACCACTGCTTAAAGAAGGTGTCTTCCAGGAACTGGCAGTAGGACTGGGAGTTGAGCTTGACTCCATCCTCAACCCGAAAAGGCCCCACAAGCTCATCTTTGATGATACCAGCCCAAACCAGTACTCCACCTCCACCTTGCTGGCGTCTGAGTCGGACTGGAGCTCTCTGCCCTTTACCAATCCAGCCACGGGCCCATCCATCTGGCCCATCAAGACTCACTCTCATTTCATCAGTCCATAAAACCTTAGAAAAATCAGTCTTGAGATATTTCTTGGCCCAGTCTTGACGTTTCAGCTTGTGTGTCTTGTTCAGTGGTGGTCGTCTTTCAGCCTTTCTTACCTTGGCCATGTCTCTGAGTATTGCACACCTTGTGCTTTTGGGCACTCCAGTGATGTTGCAGCTCTGAAATATGGCCAAACTGGTGGCAAGTGGCATCGTGGCAGCTGCACGCTTGACTTTTCTCAGTTCATGGGCAGTTATTTTGCGCCTTGGTTTTTCCACACGCTTCTTGCGACCCTGTTGACTATTTTGAATGAAACGCTTGATTGTTCGATGATCACGCTTCAGAAGCTTTGCAATTTTAAGAGTGCTGCATCCCTCTGCAAGATATCACACTATTTTTGACTTTTCTGAGCCTGTCAAGTCCTTCTTTTGACCCATTTTGCCAAAGGAAAGGAAGTTGCCTAATAATTATGCACACCTGATACAGGGTGTTGATGTCATTAGACCACACCCCTTCTCATTACAGAGATGCACATCACCTAATATGCTTAATTGGTAGTAGGCTTTCGAGCCTATACAGCTTGGAGTAAGACAACATGCATAAAGAGGATGATGTGGTCAAAATACTCATTTGCCTAATAATTCTGCACTCCCTGTATATGTGTGTGTGTTTAATTTGGAAACTTTGGACCAGCAGGAAATGTCAGCTTATCTCAAATAGATAATGAAGGACTAGGGTGGGAGGTAAGGAAACATTTGGTTTGGATTTTGTGCCGAAATTCTGTTGTGGAGTGTACCCTGGTAAGACATTATTATTGCCAAGTGATAAAAACACACAATTGGGTCAGCGCTCACTAACAAAGAATAATAAACAACAAGGCAGCAACCCTAAGAAGGTGATCCCTCTCAACCCTTCAAAATAACACAAGAAAAAAAGAGAGAAGGGCTGTGCCACATAGAATTGAACAGATAGTACTGAAAAGTCTCATCCCAACAATGCAAGTTGTCACATATAAAGATGTCTCTTATCAAGAGGTAGATGCAGCTGTAGTTGCCAAGTTCTTTATGCTTGGGGGATGTGGTAGATCTGAGTGTCTTTAGTCTCCGTATGTGGATAGAAAAAGACAAGGCAACCTAATAGTGCAATATGTCAGAGCTTAGTGTGACAGTATGTTAATAATAGGTATCTTGCTATGACCAGCTCTAGTGTATATCGCATACAGTGGTACAATCCCCACTTATAGAATATTGTGAGGGTCGTTCACAACAGATGGGTGTCCAGGTACTCCGAAAGGGAATAAAAATAGCCACAAATAGTGCTCTCAGTAAAATAGCAAAATTGTATAAAATTAATCAAAATTATACTCACGAGTAGAGCAGGCTCACTGCTCTATGATGATAGCGCTAGTGGTATGATCCCCACCTGGGATATTGTTGTGAGTAGAGATGATAAAGATGATACCAAAAAAAAGATAAAAATGCCAGGAAGTATACATTTTAAAATAAGTAGTTAAAATGCAAAGGTGATGGCACAATAGACTATTGTGTTAACCAAAATCCTTTATTTAATAAAATGCAAAGTAATATCCATAACGCGTTTCACCAATATAGGCTTTTTCAAATGGAATAAAAAAACATACACCCTGGCTAGTTGGAGTTTATATAGGGGAAAAGCAATTTAAAATTGGCGCCAAAATGACATCATAGGCTGTCCTCCAATCAGCAAACATCGTTGGTGTTTACAATATAAATATGACCGACAGTGATATGTCTTAATAGATATTTACATATAGACTAATAATATAGTATTTAAAGGGACACTATAGTCACCAGAACAACTGCAGCTTGTGGAATTTGCTTTGGTGAGTAGAATAATTACCTTCAGGCTTTTTGCTGTTAACACTGTCCTTTCAGAGAAAATGCAGTGTTTACATTACAGCCTAGTGATAACTTCACTGGCCACTCCTCAGATGGCTTTTAGAGATCCTTCCTGGGTCATGGCTGCCTAAAATGCATCCAAACATTCAGTGTCTCCTTCCTCTGCATGCATTTACTGAACTTTCCTCATAGAGATTCATTGATTCAATTCATCTCTATGAGGAGATGCTGATAGGCCAGGGCTGTGAATTGTGAATTGAATTGTGCTGGCTCTGCCCTTGATCTGCCTCCTTATCAGCCATTCCTATGGTGAAGCATTGTGATTGGATCAGTTCACCACTTCTGATGATATCAGAGGAAGTTCAGAGGCAGCAGCTTCAGACTTGAATACATGTAAGATTTTACTATCTTTAGTGCGGCAAAGGGGGCTAAGAGGGCTAGATAGTGGTTTTAACACTATAGGGTCAGGAATACATGTTTGTGTTCCTGACCCTATAGTGCTCCTTTAACTGTAAAAACGAGCATGTAATAGGTAGTATCGGCTATTTGAAGCCAGAGCACGTGACGTGTGTCACGTGCATGTACTAGTTTCCCGGCCTCTAAGCTTAATGGGAAATGTAGTTCTTGATGTAGTAGTTGCGATGTCGGCAAGAAACTGATATTTGTCGACATCAGAATACAGTTTAATTGGGAACATTGAGTGCAGGGTCACAGAACTAAAGGGCTAGATAAAGTTAAACTAACATGCTGATAAAAATGAGTAAATAATGTAAAATTATCGCGGTGGCCATCTTGGTTGAGGAAGAGGGTGATGGCAGGGGTCATCTTAAGGGGAAGTAAACTTGGCGGCCATATTTAGGGGGGAACATCCCTAATAATTATTAAAGAAATACTTTATCATGCATAATAGTGAAGAAAAAAAGTATATGAAAGAATTAAATTAAAATAGCTAGAATTTTTTTTTTTTTTTTTGTCTTCTGTGTGTATGTAGCTAAATAGCAGAGAAAACGTTCTAAAATCTTAATATGGATTAATAAATTAATAGTCCTTCAACTACATGTATCTTAAAACAGGTAATGTGAACAGTGACCAGGATCTTAAAAACTCCACAATAAGGCTAAGCTACGAGGTATCAGTAAAGTGTAACAGAAAAACTGAGTGGAAGTGGTTATGGTAGGGGTGTTCCTAATCTCAATGCTGTAGGATAAACAACTGTGATCAGAACACCCCTAAGATAACAACGAAATAGTCCCAGGGAGGTGCTGATTGAAAAGATGTATCAGCTAAATGCATCAGTTATCACATATATCTCCGCAATTGTAATTATAACAATAAATAATCTAACCAACATAGTAAGGTATAAATACAAACAATAGTCAGCACATACTATAATTAAAATAGCCTAATGTATTGGCTAAGGGTTATGTAATATAGTAGAGGATAGATAACGGGAATATATATATACAATGTGGATAGGGAGAGGAAAGGTTACATGAAATGAAACAAATCAATGGTTTAAATGCAAAGGGAACATAAAAAATATCCTTGGTAAATCGAAAATGGAATGGGTGTTTAATTTACAGACGCTCGCCCCTAATGTTTCTGAGTACCTGGACACCCATCTGCTGTGAACGACCCTCACCATATCCCATAAGTGGGGATTGTACCACTTTATGTGATATACACTAGAGCTGGTCATACAGAGCTCTTTTACATTGAGTGCAATATCACTATTATTAACATACTGTCACACTAAACTGTGACATATTGCACTATTAGGTTTCCTTGTCTTTTTCTATCCACATACGGAGACTAAAGACACTCAGATCTACCACATTCCCCAAGCATAAAGAACTTCACAACTACAGAAGAAGAAGTAAGTAGAAGTATACATCAGGGTGTTGCAGTGGATGTGATCTACTTGGATTTTGCCAAGGCATTTGATACGGTTCCTCACAGTAGGTTAGTCTTCAAACTAAAAGAAATTGGTCTAGATGAATATTCTTGTTCTTGGGTAGAATATTGGCTTAAGGATAGAGTACAACGAGTTGTCATTAATGGTAAATTTTCAAGCTGTGGTGTCCCCCAGGGTTCTGTTTTGGGACCACTTCTATTTAACATATTTATAAATGATCTTGAAATAGGCATTGAAAGCCATGTATCAGTGTTTGCAGATGACACAAAACTTTGTAAAGTAAAATGTGAGCAGGATATTGCTTTGCTGCAGATGGATTTGGATAGATTGGGGGACTGGGCACTAAAATGGCAGATAAAATTTAACGTAGAGAAATGCAAAGTTATGCACTTCGGGGTTAAGAATGCACAAGCAACTTACACACTAAATGGTAGTGAATTAGGGATAACCACACACAAGAAGGATTTGGGAATTGTTATAGACAACAAATTAGGCAGCAATATGCAATGTCAATCTGCAGTTGCTAAGGCCAGTAAGGTTTTGTCATGTATAAATAGGGGCATAAATTCTCGGGATGAAAATATAATTTTGCCTCTTTATAAATCGCTGGTAAGACCACACCTTGAATATGCTGTGCAATTTTGGGCGCCTGTTCTAAAGAAAGTTATCATGGCACTAGAAAAAGTCCAGAGACGAGCTACAAAATTGATAAAAGGAATGGAGCATTTTAGTTCTGAAGAAAGCGCTTCAGACTAGGTTTTTTGCCTTCTTTTGGATCAACAGCAAAAAACATATGTGAGGAAGGCTGAACTTGATGGATGCAAGTCTCTTTTCAGCTATGTAACTATCTATGTACAGCTGCATCTACCTCTTGATAAGAGACATCTTTATATGTGACAACTTGCATTGTTTGGGTGAGACTTTTCAGTACTATCTGTTCAATTTTATGTGGCGCAGCCCTTCTCTCTTTTTTTTTCTTGTACCTGTATGTTGCCAGACCCATTCAGTTTGCCAGGGGATTTGTAAGTGCTTTTCGTGTCCCCCTCACCTTGTATTCTTTCTCTATAAGCTGACAATGAAACACTGCACACTGGTTTGTACTCTACAGTATTGAATGAAACCATTGTAGTGCAGAGCTTCACACAAATATCATTCATCTCTTAACACCTCAGCATGGCAGCTGAGTTAGACATAACCCCGTTGTCTGACATATAAGGCCCATTTATGTGGCCTGGGCTTTTTCTTCTTCAAAATGGAGGCCTATAATTGAGTCCATGTGTGTAATAAATGTTTAAAGGACCACGCTAGGCACCCAGACCACTTCAGCTTAATGAAGTGGTCTGGGTGCCAGGTCCCTCTAACCCTTTTTTTTTTTTAAATAAACATAGCAGTTTCAGAGAAACTGCTATGTTTATAATAGGGTTAATTCAGCCTCTAAAGCCTCTAGTGGCTGTCTCACTGACAGCCGCTAGAGGCGTTTGCGTGCTTCTCACTGTGAAAATCACAGTGAGAAGACGCCAGCTTCTATAGGAAAGCATTATGAATGCTTTCCTATGAGACAGGCTGAATGCGCGCGCAGCTCCTGCCGCGCATGCGCATTCAGCCGGAGAGGAGGAGGAGAGCTCCCCGCCCGGCGCTGGAAAAAAGGTAAGATTTAACCCTTTCCTCGCCATCCAGCCTGGCGGGAGTGGGACCATGAGGGTGGGGGCACCCTCAGGGCACTATAGTGCCAGGAAAACGAGTATGTTTTCCTGGCACTATAGTGGTCCTTTAACTCGCAAGTTGGAATAAACTTGGAATTAATAATATTAATAACTAAAAATAATAATAAGTCACAGTCCACACTCTTTGCTTTCAGCAATTCAATAATATTTATTAATAGAGGCTAATTAAACAAATAAACAATATATATACATTTGAAATAGGCTAGTAGTATATGTTGCTACTAAACCTAATCATTGACTGAATGAAAAGTAGGCTAAATTAACATAGTAAAACAGGCATAGACACGTGATACAGTTACCACTCCATTGATCGTCAGCTGAGAGTAAGAGAGGGGAGAGGGAATAGGGTGAGAGAGTGTGGGGAGAGTGGAGAGAGAAGACAAAGAGAGGTAATTCAAAGAGACAGAGAATGTGCTATTCACAGGGCTTTAAACAGGTTAGCCCCTCCTTCTGCCTCTCCCCTTCACCTCCCTCAGTCAATCCCTTAGGATCTAACAGAACCAGAGTGCCTCCTGGTGGAAGAGGGATTGCATTGGAAGGGAATGGAGGAAGGGTTTATCAACAACCCAACTGATTTTGCCTGGTGAAAGGCCATGTGCTTCACAGAGGACTCCATTATTGCCTAAGAGTAGATTGGGGCTTGAATCCCTGTATTAGAACACAATGACACTTCATTTGCGTACAGTTTGGCTGTTAATCACATCCCCCCCCCCCCCACTTATTACAATGTGGTATTAAAAAATTATTTTGTTGGTTGACCAGATGGCATATGACTGCTCTAGTCAGAGACTATATGTAGCGGAGATGCAATATTCCCCAGGTTGTCTCCGCTTATAATCCAAGTGAGGCTCAGGAACAAGTAAATAATAAATCCATAGGCAAAGTTTCCAGCAGGTAAAATAACAGCAATCTCCCCACAGCAATCCCAATAACTGGACGACACACAGTTTCAGGAGCAGAACTGACAAGCCTTTAATCACAGTCTCCTTATAAAGCATGCTCCCATGCAAGGGAGGGATTTACAGTAATTATTACAGTAGCCAATCCTGTCCTGGTAACCTCCCACACATCTCCTCCCCTCAGCCAGCATCATAATCCCCTTATCCAGTACACCAATTCCCCCCGTTTCTGGATGTACCCCTAAACGTAGGGGTACCTCTTTAAATCCTACATCCCCTGGTAGCCCTGATCTGGGTGAACAACATATCCAAAAACCACCCAGATCAGACCAGGGGTTCGGGAAAAGTATGGAGGGAATAAAATGACCGACCGCACGAACTGAGATAGCCGAATTCGGTTCCATGTGAATGGGCCCTGCGGTCGGTCCTGGCATAAGGGAATAAAATACACGAAAACCTCTAGCTATAGAGGCTAGGGAGGGTTCGCCTGAATCCCCTCGTTCGGTATTCTCTATCTACCGAACGAGGGGCCGTTCGGTAGTTTGGAACCGAACGGACCAGGGCTGTGGAGGTCTCAGCGGTGTTCGCCTACTCGAGTGTCCGATTTTAGTTCCAGACACTCGACGGCTAAACACCGCTGTTCGGGAGTTTTAAAATGGCCGCCGCCACGTGTTCGTTTGTCGAATGGCGGCCACCCCCGAGAACAAAGGACGGCTACTTACTGTTCAATTACCCGTTCGCAACAATGTTGCAACGGGTAATTGAGGACACACTTCACACAGGGGAGGTCTGGTTGTTCGGTAGTTTCATTCGAATAAACTAAGGGAACGAAACTACCGAACAATCACAAGAATACAAGGCTTTAAAACACATAGGAAACTAACAGATCACACGAATGCAATTATTTCACAGACATTTGCAGGACAGCCCAGTGCCATCCGCTACACTATAGATTATCTTTTTTTTTTTTTGTGAACTTTGTCTAGTTCAGAACAAGCAGATGTGTTTGTCAGAAATGAAAGTTTATTAATTTTAATTCCCATAACATGTATTCTTTGTCAATCTATCTTTAAGGAAATGATTGAAAATTATGTTCATTGGAATGAAGATATTGGAGAGTGGCAGTTGGTAAATACATTTCTATTATTATCAATAATTGTACATTTTGTCTTTTAAGACATTAACATTCTTTTTTAATTTTATTTGTTAGAAATGTGTGGCATACACTGGAAACAACATGAGAAAACAGACACCTGTACTAGACAAGAAAGAAAAGGATGTAAGGCAAATGTAACCTTTATTATTATCCCTGCAGTGCATGAACAATGTAGAGCAACCATGTCAGAATGATTCATTTACCTTTTAGTATTGGATCTGAATCACCCAACTATGCATAAGGCCACATTTTTTTTGCAATATTCATGATTGATAATGTTTAGGTGCGTCATAATATTAGATTGTCTGTGTATATTGTGACTTCCTGATACTTGGTCATGTCTGTTTATAGCCTCTCAATTGAGATGTTTTGGGAAGTGTGGATTGTGTCCTATCATGCTTTGTAATGAGAGAGAGAGAGGTAATGAGGCACATCAGGGGGAGGAGAGGACCACTAAGGGAGGGGGCCACTAAAGGACAGGCAGGCGGGAGGGAGAGGAGAGATACACTAAGGGCCCGGGAGGGGAGAGGTACACTAAGGGCCCGGGAGGGGAGAAGTACACTAAATAGTTTTGAAAACATAAAAAAATCTGACTGGCTTGTATATTTTGTGCATTTACCACTTATTAAAAAAAATTGCAAAAATAAAGAATAAACATGTTCAGTTAACAGTAGATTTGTGTAGAAATTATTTATTTTTTCAAAATGGTAAATGTACAGAATATCGGTATCCGTAAGTTATCGGCTAATGGCCTGATAGTTCACAGATTATCGATATCGGCTCTAAAAAAATCAATATCGGTCGATCCCTATTTTTTATGGCCTTGTGGAAAGGTGTGTTGACTAGGCTGAAGTGGAGTCCTTTATAGGCAAATTTCCAGTTGGGTGCTTAAACAATTGGACTCCATTTTGAACATGTTTTCTGATGAGATACACAACCTTAGTAGGTGTTAATGGTTTAACAACCTCTATCATTTGCACTATTTCATACTTACAAACATCAGATTATGCTCATGATTAAGGTGGAGCGACCTTTGGAATTAGTGTCCTATTGGAATAGATTATAGTTTCCTCAGTAGAACAAAAGGGACCTCATCAAACATAAATATGTTCATTTTATCAAATGTATTCGTTGTATCCTCAGGTTAAACAGCTGTGTAATGGTCACAGAGAAGATGTCTGCTTAAGCTGTGTATAAGTGAAGACAAATGGATGAATCACATCACAATACGTTGTATAATTGTATCTATTTTACTTTCAGCCATTTGAGGTAGATTTGTCTCATGTATATTTGGCTTACACGGAGGAGAGTCTTCGTCAATCTTTAATGAAGTTGGAGCGACCAAGAACATCAAAATCAAAATCAAGACCTAAAACTGGAAGAAGGTGCTTAATATTCTATGGCAATTCTTTGGATTGTTTTTTTTTTGGTTTGTTTTATTACATTTTATATGCATTTTAAATAAATATGGTATACTAAAAAATGCCAACACTTTTGGAGAATTCTGGAATTCTGTTACACAGACCATGGGTTTGTACTGGTGTGCTTAACACAATAGGGCCATGTGGTGTAACTGAATCTCCATAATTGTTTGCTAAGATAGATGATATTAAATGGCCTTTTAAAATTTATGTGCGTGCACAGTTTTAATTTCTTAAGGATGGCGGGCGTTCTATGCAGTCCTGGTGGGGGCGGTCCACAACAGGACATCCCTGTCATCCTTAATACTTACCAGGTCCCTGCTGGCAGTCACGATTCTGGGGACTGCCTGGATGCCCAGGTAGTCACCCTGGAAGAAAGTTTTCAAAAGTTAATAAAAGTTTTAAAACGGTTTATAAATTCAATAAAAAGTACTTAGAATATATACATATATATTATTAAAAATGTATTTTAATATTATTTTTTAGTAGCCGCAAACACTGGCCAAAATTAGCGTTCAATTTAGTTTTTTTGCACTTTTCACACACAAACAAATATAAACAAATATATGCAATATAATAATATATTACTGGATTCACTGAAAAGTTTTGGGGTGTAGGAACTTGTTTAGGAGACAATAGAATTGGTCAGTTTCTTTATCATGTGTGCCATTTAAAAACTCTGCATATTTCTGTTTTTGTATTTAACAGGAAACGCTCCGGAAAACCAGAAGCTGGGATCGACTCCTTGCTCCAGTAACATGACCAGGCAATGGCTTAATCATTGATATGGCAGGGAACCTAAACCTGTATTATGCATCTGAATGTGGTTTATGTTATAGGATGGAACAATACCTTGTGCATTGAGCAAGAACCTTATTACTATTGAATTGCTTGACTCATATTCTACTTAAATGTCATGTTTTTTATGTTTACACCTGTTTTTTTTTTTTTTATAGGGTTCAGTTCATCACGTTATGAAACCTCATTGATGACCATGTTAAATGGGAAAACACTATGTTGGATTTTAGTTTTTCTGTAAATATATTTGTCTTCTTATTAGGAGGATTTAGTAAGAAAATTGATTATTGAAACAGTTGCCCTTGATATTTAATTTTCTGTAAAACAATGTGTCCAAATGTACAGATCTTTTTAATGTAATTTGTTGATTGTTTAAAGAATTGTCTCCTTTTCGGTCCCCCCATTACATATTGCATGTTGTCTGTGTTACAGATGTGAAGGAATTCAATGATTCACCGATGACATGTCAGGACTGTCATTATTCAAAGTTTGTGACTTCCCTCTTAAAGTGTTAGAAGAGCTCTCACTTTCTAGTAATTTTAAAGGAGCACTCTGTTAGGAATACAAATCTCTATTACTAACGTTAGTGTTTTCCAAACTATTTAGATTTATGCTCCCCTTAACCCCTTAAGGACACATGACAGAGATACTCCGTCATGATTCCCTTTTATTTCTGAAGTTGTGTCCTTAAGGGGTTTAATAAAAGTTTATTTACATTTATGGCATGCCGGTCTACTTGCAGCTGCAATCAACACTTTCAGCATTTCCTCATTGAAGTGTATCATTACGGAGAGTGCTGAGCATCTTCACGGAGAGCATTTAGACAACAAGCATCAGTAATGCAAACATTGCATTATCACTACAGGAAGCCCTACTAGTTGCTATCCGAGTGACCGCAACTACAGGTGGCATTAGAATGCAATGTGTAATCACTGCATTTACTCATAATTGCTGAGAATGCAAGGACAGGCTGCATAAAAAAAAAACACTACACTAAGCTCCAATGTATTTGGTGCTGGGAGTGTCCCTTTAATATTATGTTTATCTATCCATATATTTAACAAATATTTTTATGTATGGGTGAAAAATGTATCTGAATGTAGAAATCCACACCTCCATATTAATCATTGTTACAAGCTCTGTTCTTTGCACCTAGCAGTATGCATATGAAAGCATAGAGAGAAGAGGATAAATGAAACTGTTTTCTTCCTCCTACGTATTTGCAATGTTTGAATCTTGTCTTTACAGTGGTTTTACTGTGTCTGAAATGGAGTATGATGTGATTTGTTAACTCATTCATATAAATAAAAAAAAAAAAAAGGTTCATCTCATGAAAAAAGGGTAACACAAATTACAGGTGATTTTTCACTGTTTTAACATGTCCCCTTTAAGTCAACTTTTGCCACCAATGTTAATCGGCCAGAAATTTATACTGAAATGTTTCATCATACAGACTTTTTGTGAACATGTTGGCAAATCATTGCTACAAAATCACGAAAACATTCAGTGCATATATTTAGAACTCCAACCCTCTTGTTTAATTGTAAACATTATTTGTTGGTGATCTGGCAGTTTCAAATTAATTCCTTCTTTTCATCTGCTCTGAAGATGGATTTAAATTTCTAGTCATCTGCCCTTTGTGGTATCAGGTCAATATGAACATCAATGCCTATAAGTGGGGGGAAAAAGTTTAAATGGTCCATTTTATTTCCATGTATTCAATTTAATCAGGTTATTTGAGTTGTAAAGGGAGAGAACATTGCTTCTTCCTAAATTGACAGGTTTGTTACACTGGTGTCCTGACTGTTTAATCTGCATTGGGTTTCACCGTAACTATATGTAATACATATTTACTGAGGAATTCCTATGAACAAATTAACAATGAATAAATTTTAAAAATATGTTACAAAATTGTTTGCTTTTTATTTGTAGATGAATTAGTTTATTAAAGGGACAATATAGTACCCGGAGTGTGCCCCCACCCTCAGGGTCCCCCTCCCGCAGCATTGAAGGGGTTAAAACCCCTAAAGCTACTCACCCTTTTCCCCCGCCGGGCTCCCTTACCTCTCCTCCCCCGCCGACGTCAGCATCCTTGTCTAACGTCACCGGCGCCGAATGTGCATGCGCGGCACTACCGCGCGCGCATTCAAAGTGTCCGTAGGAAAGCATTTTTCAATGCTTTCCTATGGACGCTCTGCGTGATTGAGGCATAATATGCCTCAATCATTGCCGATGCGCCTCTAGTGGCTGTCCGGAAGACAGCCACTAGATGCTGGCTTAACCCCAGATGTAAACATAGCAGTTTCTCAGAAACTGCTATGTTTACATCAGGCAGGGTTAACCCTAGAGGGACCTGACACTCAGACCACTTCATTGAGCTGAAGGGGTCTGGGTGACTATAGTGTCCCTTTAATGTATTTTTTTTTTCTTGCAGCTGCTGTTAAAAGGACACACTAAGCACCAGAACAACGTTAGCTTAACGAAGCATATTTGTGTCTAGAACATGACTCTGTAGTATTATTGCTCAATTCTCTGATGTTTAGGAGTTAAATGACTTTTGTTTCTGTTTATACAGCCTTAGCCACACCTCTCTGTGGCTCTTACAGCCCCCGTCAAAAAATTGTTTCATTTTTAATTCTCTCACTACACAATATGTTTACTTTAGAAGTTATTATCTCCTTCCCTTTTGATTGATATTTAATCACATATCACAGGCTGTTACAAGCCCATAGCAGGCAATTAAAGGACCACTCTAGGCACCCAGACAACTTCAGCTTAATGAAGTGGTCTGGGTGCCAGGTCCTTCTAGGGTTAACCCATTTTTTCATAAACATAGCAGTTTCAGAGAAACTGCTATGTTTATCAATGGGTTAAGCCTTCCTCTATTTCCTCTAGTGGCTGTCTCATTGACAGCCACTAGAGGCGCTTGCGTGCTTCTCACTGTGATTTTCACAGTGAGAGCACGCCAGCGTCCATAGGAAAGCATTAAGAATGCTTTCCTATGTGACCGGCTGAATGCGCGCGCAGCTCTTGCCGCGCGTGCGCATTCAGCCGACGGGGCGGATCGGAGGAGGAGAGGAGGCAGAGAGCTCTCCGCCCAGCGCTGGAAAAAGGTAAGTTTAACCCCTTTTGCCCTTTCCAGAGCCGGGCGGGAGGGGGACCCTGAGGGTGGGGGCACCCTCAGGGCACTATAGTGCCAGGAAAACGAGTATGTTTTCCTGGCACTATAGTGGTCCTTTAACAGAGCAGGAGATAAGATGTTGTACATTTAACATACTGTGGGAAATGGGGGGGAAAAAAATTAAACTTGTCTTTTTTATTCTATTGTCCAGGGAAATGTGTAAGGAAGCTCCAAGTAGGTTAGGACTGCATAAAAAGTAATTGTAAGTCTTAAATTGCAAATAATTGAGCAGTGAGACTGCAGCAGAGCTGTGCAGCAAAAACATTTAATTAAGCTAAATGTGTCTGTGTGTCCCTTTAACGTAACAGCAAAGGTGAATTGATACAGTATTACCACTTAAGAGGTGATTAAGCAAGAAATTTGATTGGTTTCTCCATCTTTGCATTTATAATGCTCTCTGATTTATATTGCAATTGTTGCCTGGCGTCGCCATGTTTTAGATTTATTTTTTTCCCCCCAAGACTAGTTTTTTGTTTTTTTGTTTTTTACAAATGACTTTATAAAGAAAACATTCAGTGAGGAGAATGATCAGCCAATTTATAATTGTCTCCTGCGCATTTTCAGGTATACCCACAGACAGTTTTCCAATAAACTTTATTAAAAAGACAATCCTGAGTAGAATTGCCTCTTAAAATACACTCCTCTTCATGTCTCTCATTTGCAGTAAAATAAAGTTTAAAAAAAGTCTTGATTTATTTTTTCACGTAAATGTAATGAATAATATATTGAATGGGGTAGGTGATCATGCTGTTTATACATATCTTATTAAAGGAACACTCCAAGCACAATCCACTACAGTGGCAAATCCCCATAGCATTGTCTATCTTTAAAAGGATACTCTAAGCACTACAGCTCAATAATGTTTAGCAGTTTTGCGAAGTTAAAGAACATTTCAGTTTTTAAACTTGGTGGTGGCCTTTTTTTCTTTTATGAAACACAGCAGTCCATTGCTTGAAAGTATGCAGAGGGAAAGGGCTAACATTAATTAAAGGACCACTATAGTGCCCTGAGGGTGCCCCCACCCTCAGGGACCCCCTCCCGCCCGGCTCTGGAAAGGGGAAAGGGGTAAAATCTTACCTTTTTCCAGCGCTGGGCGGAGAGCTCTCCTCCTCCGATCCTCCTCCGTTCCTCCTCCTGGGCTGAATGCGCACGCGCGGCAAGAGCTGCGCGCGCATTCAGCCGGTCACATAGGAAAGCATTCATAATTCTTAATGCTTTCATAATGCTTTCCTATGGACGCTTGCGTGCTCTCACTGTGAAAATCACAGTGAGAAGCACGCAAGCGCCTCTAGTGGCTGTCAATGAAACAGCCACTAGAGGATTAGGGGGAAGGCTTAACCCATTCATAAACATAGCCGTTTCTCTGAAACGGCTATGTTTATGAAAAAATGGGTTAACCTTAGCTGGACCTGGCACCCAGACCACTTCATTAAGCTGAAGTGGTCTGGGTGCCTAGAGTGGTCCTTTAAAGGTAAAAACATTTACAGGGGTTTTGGTGCATAGACTTTGTCCCTGGAGGCTGCAGTTTGGTAATGTAAAACATGAGCTATGGCATTCTATGTGTTTTGTCTAACAATATAGAAGTATACACACTATATAGACAGCTCACTTTGAAAACCACCTTTATTGTTTTGCAAAAATGACATAATTACAAAATGTATAACCGTGGCATAGGCTTACAACAGTCCTAATAGCAACACTTTTCACGAAAAGCCTACCAATGACCTGAAAACTTGTCTCAAATACTACTGCAATGTTTCAGCATTCCCATATGCCTTTCTCCAAGGAAAAACCCAAGGACTTGTGGTTGTACCCTGGTGTCCTTCCCATTGTAAGTATTCTAACTGATTTAGAATAGTTTAGCTTCTTATCTTACCTCTACACGGCACTGCTCTCTGCCTCTTCTCTGTCTCCAGGAAAGCTAGAAGTTCTTACTTACGGTAGCTAGTTTCTGATAGCTCTCCTGAGCTAAGCCCTGAAGTGCAGTCCTAGCTCATTGGATGAAAGTCAACTGATGCTTAAAGTACCCTGAACTGCTGGTCTTGGATTAGAGCTTCCAGCTGTAGTGGAGGCAGGAAGTGGTGTCCAGTGGACCCCAGGTAAGAGCCAAACTGTTTTAAAATTGTTTAATTACTTAAATTGGCCAATAAAGCCTTTTTATTTACTTCTAATCTTTATTTATGCTCTAACCACATACTAAAATACAGTTGCCAGGCAGAAAACATATACATAGATAATCCACAAGGTTGATGAAATACTGGCATGTCAAACACTCCAATTATTATTATTGTCATTTATATAGCACCAACAGATTTTTTTTTCTCAATTTTTTCTAGAGGATGGATATACCCACTATACATATATGGACGGTTCACGTAAATTGTTCTTTATTATCTAAAGACTTAGGATGTGTTTTCCTGTCTATACAGAGCTGAAGGAATACTAATCCTAGATGCTACGTTGTTAATTATATGCTTTGAAACTCTATGAGAGGATATCTGCCTGGATTTTATACCTTCTTTATACTTTGTTTTATTGATGTTGTTTACACTCACTAGGTGTGAGTTGAGGGCATAGGAGAATTTGCACTGTCAATATATTGTATTTAGTACTTAGTCTGACATTTCAGAAATGTAGTTTTTGCAAACAAACAAGATTCATTGACTTTTTGAGCGCCGTATCATTTCTTAATTTTTTTGTATTCTGTGTTCCACAGGAACATCATAAGATTTCCTCAATAGAATGTTGTAAATATTAAAAAAAGAGTGCGAGTGAAATTCAGTTCCAAGCAAACAGTCCCCTAGAATAAATGCATCCAACTCCTGCTACGGGGTTTATTGGCCATTGGCAGAACATTTAAGTTTTCGGGACACAGAGAACCAGAATCCTAGTCCATTATTTCATATTTTGGTGAATCAAAATATACAAGTACATAATAAAATAGAGCCATAACCTATCATACATATGGTAGCTGAAAAAGTGTGTAACTAGAAAGTGTTGAGTGTTTCTTTTATTAGAAACATAAATGTTATAGTTCAATCTTAAATATATACTGTAGTGGTAAAAAGAAAGTTTAGTTTATTGAATGTGAAAATTACGTGAAACGTTATTCAAAACCACAAATGTATGATTGCATAATTTTTCATAACAGCAGTGGTGTGCTTTTACTAAACATACACAAAAACTCAATTTCATAATTAAATCTAGCAACTCTTGATTAATATAAATCACATTTTCTGGGAAACTCCCACACTACCTGAACAAAATGCTTTCCCCAGCTGTCCCCACTTCCTATAACCTCCGATCCAGTACCAACACCTTACAAAAAGAAAGCAGCCCGATCCTCCTCCTCCTACAGAGCACCGCAATTGTGGAACGACCTCCCGCACAATTTAAAATCTTCCCTAAGCCTAAAGTCCTTTAAGAGATCCCTCTCTACATACCTCAAAACAGAATGCACCTGTCATGGTTGATTATGTATTTCCTACCTGTTTTATGTTAAATTTTGTATTTATTGTGTATTAATATTGTTTTTGTATTTTAATGTACCCTAATGTGATTTGTGGACCCAGGACATACTTGAAAACGAGAGAAATCTCAATGTATCTTTCCTGGTAAAATATTTTATAAATAAATAAATTAATTAATATTAGCATAAATGAACACTCTCTTGGAGAGGAGGTATTGCGATAGATATGTCTGCATCTAGATATATAACCCAACACAAGTGCTGTACTCAGTTTAAAATGCAAGACATCTGGCTAAACAATCTTCACTGGCCATTTGGGATAAAAGGGGTAACAAATATTTGTACCAAATGTTTTTGTTTGTTATCTGTTTTTTCTATTTTTAAATAGTTACTGTTATTTTTTGCTTTATATAATGAAAAAACTATTCCCAAAATAGTACAAAAACAGGGCAGGTCCACCACAATGAACAAATGTTTCCAACTAACAAGTCTCCAGGATGCATGAGAAATAGTCTTTTCATATGACAAAATCATATACAACGCTTCGTCCTCAAGCCTTAGTCATGTGTACAATAATTGTGATACAACAGTGGAGTGCTAAAAACATGGATATGCAGTTTTCTTACCCTTAATCAAATGGTAAATCACTGTTATATATAAAAAATGACATAAAAAGGGAAAGAACAGAAACAGATAAATAGTGCAGATGGTA